CCTGCCTAGTATTTTCTGTCGAGAATGTGCTCATGATTCAGCCAGAGCCGTACCAAGGATATTCGGCGTCCTGTGCGAGATATCCTGCCCCCCCCCCCCCCCCCCTCCCTCTATACCTCTCCAGCTTCCCCAGCACCAACAATACATTACATATGAATTTCTATGTTTAATTTGGTTAAGTTCAGGATTATTTGCAATTTTCTTTAAGTTGTATTCATATTTTGTAGTGATTTGGCAGCCAATTCGCTCCCCTTCAAGTCAGCGCCATATACTGGCGCACCGCTCGCATCCCCCTCGGTACGGCTCTGGTTTCAGCATATTCCGCAATGTTGATATTTGTTCAATGAGACCACGTGGACAACTCCATGCTAAAATGACCTTGAGACTGTGGTGAGAGCAAATGTGAAATCGCAAATTTGCACTTAATATCCTTCTAATGACCTCGGTTACTCGCGAATAATCTCTATATGAAAATGGTGTGATTTACGATTAGTCGGCATTTCATTGTTAGTGATTCTTCATTGATTTGTCATCTTCAATCATGTTTCCACGTTTCAGCTTACTGTCAACGCTAACACAAAGTTGATATGCCGAATGGAGAGCCGCTTGCCCTGATTTCAGACCCCTCAAAGTAATCTTCACATTCAGAGCTTTCACTAAGGAACTAATCAGTTATAATTTGTTAATCCGAATGCTGACGCTTCGAGACATGACCATTTGAAGACAGCTCGAGCCTGGAAAATTAATGATTGTGTAGTTGCTGTTCTCGTGGAGGCTGATTTGAAACCAGGGGCGGATATTTGAACAGAGCTCTATCTGATAATACAGCATTATTTCAGGAAAGATAAAATATTTATTTTTGTTATTTAAATATTTCTGGAATAAAACTGCATTATCGGATAGTGCTCTGTTCAAAAATCAACCCTATAAGTTTTGTTGCAGTTCGAGTTCATTCGCCCACACAGTTCGAATTAGTGTCGGGAATGTCGACAGAAGTACGTGAGAAATCGTGTCACGCAATTTAGAAAATCAGCATCCCATTCCAGTCCCACTAGGAGTTGGTGCGGAAACATTTCAGTTTTCCCGTCAATTTTCTACTAGTATCCTCCCAATCCCTTACATCTTTTATTCCAATTCCATATATTAAAAAATAGTGGCCTTCTGGAAGTAATAAAAAGATTGAAATTTCAACGAGGTTACCCTCGTTGAAGTAAGCAGATCTGAACTTGAAGTCGAATGAGAGAGGGGGAAAGGGTGCCTCAAAATACTGAGCCATTACATGGCTTCAGTGTCCTGTAATTAATGTCCTACAATCAATTCCAATTCTATGTCGATTCCAAAGAAAGCGACAACTTGACTAGACGCTTTACATCGGCATTTTGACAGGAGAGACACCAAGAGCTCGGGTGGCTTTTTTCCGTTTTTGTCAATTCTGGGATTTTTCCCCCTGTAACCCTCCCCCCAAGATCATGTTTTCTCTGCACTTTTAACCTCCATGCTCGGAACTGGAACTTTAAGTGATTAGCACCGATTTTTGCAACCCTTATTATCTTCCATGCACCGCTTTTAACACTTGCCTTGCTAGTATGGACAATAGCAGTGGGCATGGAAGTATCAGCTGTTAAAAACGCCGGACATATCGGTATCGAAAAGTCGATGCTGATGATGTAAAAGAACAAGCTTTTAACTTTACCAATTGTAAAAGAATTAACTAAAGATGACCGAGGTACAAAGGGTGCCACAGTGGGAGAGTTTGTCTTTTTCACTACTACTGAACTATACTGGACATGGAAACATGATTTAATTTAAAGAAGTCTAAGAGAATGAGTTTCAGCACCACATCCTCCAATGACTAAGCAACTTGGACCCATGGATGACTCAATGCAGGGGACCAAACTAAATGTCGAACTTTATTTACTGTGCTAGTATGCAATGAAGGCATTTCATCGAAACTTCCCAAGTGCAGGCCCAAGTGACCTGAACTTTGGACTTTTATGTCGATGATCTAAACAATTTTGATAACTGTACCTGGCGAACGATTGCCATTTTCATGTTTTCCGCAAGAGAGCACTAGGTGAACTCGCATGGGGAATACTGTAGTGATGCTTATTACTTTGAATTTCATTCTCCAGCGTTTGGGTTCGACATTCCGTTCCTTCCCTTTCGCCAGCAGTGATCATGTGCTCATGAGAGTTTAGAGTTCCACTTTCCGTGGAAATTATTCAAGAGCAACGTGAAATTAAAACGAACAATGATGTTACTTGGATAGGAACAAATCTGGCAATTTAATCATCAGAGTCAGAAAGTGAACGGTGATATTGGGTGACATGCACCGAACCCGCTTAAACTAAATTAATCTGATCTCACAATGGTTCCCTATGGGAATCAGTTTAACTGGGATAAACTTATTCCCATAGACGCCCATTATGAAAACGAATCAGTTTAAAGTTAAACGAATCTGGTGTGTGTCATCCATTATCCTGTCCCCCTGACTCAAGTTCATTTTCTGCCATTCGTCAAGGTCCCTCCCAAAAATCAAAAGTCTTTGGAGAAGTCAATTTTCTCCGGATGAAGATCTCCGATGCTGGGGGAAAATTTCCGAAGGAGTGTGGGACATACCGCCTGGAAGAACCTTCAGTACTAACAGCCTTGTCTTCCGGCCGACCTACAGCAAATTCCGCTGGTCTGCTCTGATTAGGAAGCCCTGGGTCTGTGGAATGAGATGACAGAGCGAACGGATCTAGAATCAGCCAGTAATAGTACTGTCAAGAAAGAGAAAACTCGTATGTACGGAGCATGTAGGTCACATTAGTGCTCGCAACGCCGTCTATGCTGGGGCTGCTACGGGGATTTATTCACGTTTGCCTTAGTGAGAGTGAGGGAAGGGAGAGAGAGCGAGACACTCTCTCTCACTTCGGCGTTTCCTTCTCTCCTTCCTCCTCCCTGGAACTTCCCTGAGTGAATTCGTTCAGTCGTTTTCATTGGTCCATTGCCACCATGACGGACTTCTCGATGAGACCCCTGTCAGTGACACGAGGCCATCGGTGAATTCCACTGTCTCAGGTTTGTTCCTTCCCATCTTGCATTTTTCAGGATACTCCATCCGTCATTTTGAAAGCGAGAATGGTGACGTAAGACGAATTGCAATGCTAGAATACAAGGTTGTTTTTTTTCTTTCTTCCTCCTTTCGGGGAACACGCGTTTCATTGGTATGCTTTCCGCCTGTTTGGATTCTGTCATCGCGTGCATGAGGTGGGAAGAAAGTTCCTTCCTCGAAGGCAGTGTCTTCCTTAGCTGTGTCGATCACGTGAGCCCACCGTGCTTTCTCTTAACAATAAGACACTGCATTTCAGTTTACATTCCGTCTCCGTCGTTCTTTGACATTTTCTCCTTCGCTTTTGCCCTGTGCCAGCAGCTTTTCGTTGTTAAATGCATGAACTCCCGTTAGGAATTAATTTGCGCAGAATTGCACATATTTTTTTGTGGATCCTGGATCTTGACGTACCCTTCTTCCTTCTGTGGACCCTTTCGCATGGGACAATATGGGTCAGCTTTGGTTGAAACTCGATGTCATTCAGTGGGTGACAAGGATTTTGAGAGTGGCGTTTATGCATCATCTTCGTGCCCTGGAGGAACACTGACGAGACAAGGAGAGAGAAAGTGGAATATTTTTGTAGTCGATCCAGAAGGAATGCTTCTAAGCTCTTCCCCCCCCCCCCCCCCCCTCTCTCTTTTCTCTGTTTTCTCTATCTCTCTCTCTTTTCTCTGTTTTCTCTCTCTCTCTCTCTATCGCTCTCTGTGTATACCTTTCTGTGTCTACCGTACTACATTCTTTTATTCTTGGAAAAACGATTGCTGTGTGCTGGGCGATTTATCATATCAGGAAGGAGGATCCCCTTGTAACAAACTCATACCAGCAGTTCAAGGACGTTTTCCCCCTCCGTGCTTAAAGGATATGGGGGCGGGCCAAGCCAAGCCAAAAACCCAGACGGTTTCCTCGAAGAGCATTGTGACCTGTCGGGTTTTCCCCCTATTTTTGTGTTTTTCCTCCAGCTCTACATCAGATATCCAGCCACCCACCTGCCAGTCGCCTTTGTTCCCCGCCTGGCCTGCCCTTAGGCATCAGGTCAGGGCAAACCCGGCCTCATTCTCAATCCCTCCATAAAAGGAAAAGGAAGGAACTTGGCGTGTTCTGTGTCTCCGAACCGTCGTCGCTGTGTGTGGATTGTAGAAGTGTGCGTGCCGCGTCCCAGTGTGCATGAACCTGATAGGAAATATAGGTTTAGGTTCATCCTGATACTAGGAATATTTCATCAATGCAAAGGGAAGAGTTAGGGTTCCCAGTCTGTTGTGAAACGTCGGCGAGAGTTCCGTTCATGGCTAGATCGAACGAAGGTCAGGTGACAGAAGGATTTGTCAGCAGGAAATTTCCCAACTTCGTACTTCATTGTTCTCTTCTTTCAGTTCAGGAACAAATACACGGGGATTGATGGTATAGCCTGGTACGACCTTCGTCGTATTTCTGCGAAAATCCGTTTTCCTTATCGACGTAGTAGAGAAAAGAGAATGCGTATAATGCGAGTGGAACGTGGAGCATCGCCCTTGCATAATAGCCATTTCCCCCCAGGCTGTGACTAGGAGTCGCCATTACCTCATCAATACTGTTTCATTCATCAAGTGCATTCGAGATTCACTGCCGGCCATAGTGAAAGTGAATAGCGGCACTTCCTACTCGCTCCACCTCTAGCTACGAGCAATTCACATTCAACACATGCACAAGACAAACACGCACCTGTGACCTTCGGCTGCGGAGGGAAGCTCGTGTCCAAGTCCTTCATATTTGAGGGCCCTTTTGTTGCCCACAGTATTTCCTCGTGTGCTTGTTGAGGGCCCTTTTGTTTGTTGCCCACAGCATTTCCTCGTGTGCTTGCTCTCATTCGACATAGGCCTGACCTCCATTGTGGGCTCCCTTGTGAATAATTCGGAGGGGGGGGGGGGATAGGAAGAGGAGGATGACCAAATGGGGATTCCCCGTCGGTCAGGATTAGCCTTGAAGGTGAAAGATGTCGAAATCCACATCTTGTCTCTCCCATTCTCTCTTGCAGGTTTCAAAGACACCTGACGGTGACGAAGAGAGAGGGAACTTGAGTATGTGCCAGTGACTGACCTTTCTGGTCCACGCTCTCCAGCAAGACACCAGTTCCAGAAAAGAGGAAAAAGAGGCCTTTATTTGACAGAAGGAGACAGAGATGGCGGCAGTGACAGGCCCGAATTCCGAGGGCTCGGAAATCGCAGAGTTTTATGATTCTCGTTGTGTTTTGATAACGGGAGCGACGGGATTCATGGGAAAAGTGCTGGTGGAGAAACTGCTTCGAAGTTGCCCTGGGATTCAAACCATATTCCTCCTAATGAGAGCTAAATCCGGCGCAGATGTTCGCACCCGCCTTCACGATCTCGTCAGTGCCAAGGTGAGCAGCCCATGCATCCATGATTCCTTCTTCACGATTCTTGTGTTGAAGCTCTTCTGATGAACGAAAGTATTTTATATATTCAAAATTTCTTCTCTTTCTAACGCGCATTTCTCTCGAGGATATTCTTGAATTGGACGGATTTTTCACAGCCCAGGATTACACCACGAAGCACTTATCAGGTATTCGCATACACAAGGGGGAATAATGAAGGGATTTAGGGAATCGAGGTGGGACATGGGACGAAGAAAGTCGCCAGTGTCCCAGATCCCATCGCTCAACAGCGACCTTTGGCTCTTAGTCCTAGGAAGAGGTTATTAGGGGGAAAGGGATGTCGAACGGAAAAACCAAAAAAAAAAACCTAGAAGCCTTTTCATCCAATCGCCTTGTGGTACAGTTGTGTGCACGGTAGTCGACATCTAGACTTGAGCCTGAATGCTGAAACTTCCTTTAGTTAGCGGGCCCTTTAAGAATCCTTGGACTCCTATGGGAACAAAAGAACTCTTGAGCTTAAAGCTATCTTGCCTGAATGAGATTTGTGCATTCTGACATAAGACTTTCGGACAAATCTGTTGGTTCGCTTGGGCCCATTCCGGAGTGAGACGCCTTATCATTTGAACCATTCTGTAATGAATACTATGTTGAGGTTAGTCACTATTCAGTTTTCGAATTACGGATAAACGGCAAGATCGAGTTAATGCTGGGGATGATTGATTGTTGAAGGTCCCTTGAATTCATTCCGGCAGGTCAACAAGCCATAAAATGTATGGACTGGAGACGAGAGCATTTCCATGAACCATCATCTTGAGCCTGCGAAATATTGTTCTGTCGACCATGAATGAGGGATAAGAAGGACCATGAATATATGGTTAAAATCATAGGGGAAAGGGGAAATAGAATTTAGGCTCTTTCGCTTCAAGGCGCTTGAAGTGAAAGCACCTAGAGGTAGTAACGTGACAAGTGTAGCTCCCGATCATACATTCCCAGACACAAAGAGCTGAAAGAGGAAGAATTCTAGAATTTCTGCGAGTGTCATTCACCACTGTGCACTTTTACCCTGATATGTTTTGGATGCTGCATTTGATTCTCTTATCGCTTGATACGCATATTTTTTGCTGTACATGTTTAGCGATTGGATTGGTCCTCTAATATTGTTCCTTATAACGGTCAAGGTGTTTTGATGAGCATTAATTTTATTTATATGCCTCATTCCCCTCCCACTACAGTCATGCCTTTACGGGCACACTCAGAATAGCTCTCACGTTGCCCCGGAATTACTTGTCCTTCTGGACGACGTCTTCCTCTAATTCACACGGTTGATGCCTGACAGCATGCTTGAGAAAGATTATCCAATGGTATATTGGTTGCATTTGTGGTGAAGATGGCACGTACAACACAGAGTTCGGGGCACCGTGAACTCTTTCTTTGCTATAGTTATTTCCATGCCTTACATCGCGACGGAAAAAAATTCTGGCTCTCTCTGAGCAGGACAAGGGAAACTTGAGCTAAGCGAAGAAGTAAATTGAAGCCAAGACGGATGGCTGAATCACATGTGTTTTCCCCCTTCATTCGCTCGACTTTTGGCCTACATGTCCAGCAGAAGGAAAAGCGTCGACATCGATTTGATCCTTGAACAGGAAATCCATTTATGATCCTGAGTCATGTATAGTAAGTGTAATTCCTGGGATGATGGGGACATGCTGAGACCTTTATGCTGAAATTGGCAAAGCCAAAAGTGTGCTGTACTTGCTCAGTTGATGACTTTTGTAGTTTTGAAGTGTTTATATTCCGATTTTGCAGTTATTTGACCGTATTCGAGGGGAGTATCCTGGGATCTTGAGCAAGTTGGTGCCAGTGAACGGAGACATCACCCAGCCAGGCCTTGGGCTTTCTCCCGAAGACGAACAGATGCTGATCGACAGAGTCTCTGTCGTCTTCCATGCAGCTGCTACGGTGAAGTTCGACGAGGCCCTCAAGATGTCTGTGAACATGAATGTCCATGGTACTAAACGTCTCGTCTCCCTCTGCCACAAAATGAACAAACTCGCCGTGAGTTTCGCCCCTCGCCTATTGCTTCCATAAAAATGAGCGGAAAAAAGGATAGGCATGGGTCATTGTAATTGGAGATGGATCCAGGTCCAAGGACTGGGAAAGCGCAAAATAGAATGCGGCTCTACAAATAACCTCTTCCTAGGACTAAGAGCCAAAGGTCGCTGTTGAGCGATGGGATCTGGGACACTGGCGACTTTCTTCGTCCCATGTCCCACCTCGATTCCCTAAATCCCTTCATTATTCCCCCTTGTGTGTATCATGGTATTGGAAATGGAATTGGGGAATTCTATAGTAGAAAGTCGGAATTTTTCTAATATTCTTTGCCCGGAGTTCGGGGGGATTGAAAATTGGCTTAATTCACGATATTCGCGCCTGTCCACTGAAGAATATGTGGGTATGGTAATTATCAGATGAGATCCTGCCCCTCGTCATTGCCCCATTCCCAGGAAGCGTCCGTTTCTTTGTAAGTTTCTCTTCGCCCTTGTGGTTCGGGGACGATGAATTTTTCAGGGAATGCCTTGAAGGTCAACAAAGAAAATTCCCAAAGGAAAAGAATATCCGGGAAGAGTTTGGTGCAATTGCCCTGGCCTTGGTTACCCGTCTCGTGGCTTAGTCATTTCAGAATATTCTTTCCTCTTCCAGGCGATTATTCCCCTTCCCCTTAGTTTGGGAAAAGACTGAGACCTTGCTCTCGGTTTTTTTTTTGTTCCCTAACCACAAATGACAAATATATGCATGCATGTATTTTCCCTTTCCGTCTTATCGCATTCAGTCCTGGTATAAGTCTTATATTACCCCTACAGCCCTGTCATTTCGTTGAAATATCAAGGTTTTGTATATAATTATTGAAAATTAGTTAACTTTTGTAACTATAAAGCTCAAGTGTGTGGAACACGTAGAAAATATAGTCACGTGAAGAGTGTTCAGAAATCCAGTTTCCAATCCCAAAAAAATTGAGTGATGCAGAGGGTTTGAAATTCATGCCTGTTGTACCGCGTACTAGTGTTTGGTGCACGTGTCGACGGCGTACTGCAATTGCGATCGAGAGGAAGTATTAGAAACGGTGTATCCTCCTCCCATGGAGCCAAATCACCTCATTCCTGCCATGGAGTGGATGGACGAAGCCCTCATTCGAGACATCACCCCCAGGTAATGCGTCTCGTCGCTCTTACGTAACATCTGTCCTTTGGGCATGGGGGTGGGGGGGGGACTTGATGCCCTCGACCTCTCGTTTCCTTCCGTCCGCGTCTTTCTTTCCGATACACCTCGCCTCTACCGTTTCTCGTGTATCCTATCGATAGGACACTGCTTTCATCAGAGGAGTTGAGTAGGTATTCCTGTGACATTGAGTACAAACTAGAACGGAATACTAAATCAAGGGACTTTCACTAACTGTAACCAGCAAAACATTGAAAGCCATTGCGGAAATTATCATCTATTTTTATTGGATTGGCATGTTTTGTGATCTCTATGGGAACACGAATACTTATTTTAAACCTCATTGGTGCACAGCGTATTTCTATGGGCTCAGATACTGATCCATACCATGAGTAATCTTACCGTGACTATGAAAAACAATTTCAGTGAAAATCTTTAATCTCATGGTAACCGAGAACTTATTTTTCCGCATTGACTTTGAAAGGTGCTGTGCTGTTTCGTCAGTATTGTTCAAGTGTTGTCAGTTGACATTGCGGTGCAGGTCTGGGGATTACTAAAATTCTCACGTGTTGTATGATGTAAGGCGGTATCTGTTTTTCCCGAATGGGACTGGGAATGACTCCAGGAAGCCCTTGCACGGGTGCGGTTAACTTCTGATGGCTTTGAATCCGACCATGGTCACAGGAATTGGAAAATTTTATAGCAAAGACCAGAGCCAGGGGAATCTCGGAGAGAATCGCTCGGGGCAAACACTCCGATGATGTAACTCTCATTACCCAGTCATCTCTCCTCTCTCCCCTCCACTTTGCATCCAGGAGGTGACTCGACAGACAAAAAACAAATTTCCATGACCCAGATTTCAAGGAATTTTCACTCGACACTGAACTGGGATAGAGATGAAGTTTCCAGGAAATCGATCTGGTGTGTGCACACTTAATGGGAGTGGAAGAAATGAAATGGAGAGAGGGCGGGAGGGAGAGAGGGAGAGAGAGTGACTGAAAATGATGCAATCCCGGCAACTGAGAGTGAAAGCGAAAAGGCATCTCGGACTCTCGTATTCGTGATATCGCATTCTCAGACAACGTTGCTCGAACATTATCGCCGTGCCTCTCCGCCTGCATACCTTCCACTCTTACGCAAATTCCCCTGCTTCCCAATCACTCGATAGAGACCAGACTGTCACTTACCAAGTACTACAATCCAAAGTCCTTCGAGATGGGTTCTGACGTCAAAATTGTCGAGGGAGGCCTGTATCTTTGAGTCCTTGAACTGGAAATACCATCGTCCCGGCTTCTGAGAAGAGACAAAAAGTGGTTTGATTGCAGTTGGAGCAGCCTAGAGTAGAGGACTTTTGGTAGTAGGTCATGGTCCATCTGAACACTAATCAGCTGGCCTCCTTTATATTCCGGTCTTTGTTTTTTTTTCGTCAGGTTGGTTGGGAATCGGCCCAATACGTACACCTATACAAAGGCATTGGCAGAGCACTCTCTGATCACGGAATGCGGGAACCTTCCCACGGCTATCGTGAGACCTTCTATAGGTGAGATCATCCTGGGAGTAGAAATTTCATTATGAAGAATCTCCCTACGAAGACTTTTGGGTTTTGTAGTGACGGCAGCGTGGAGGGAACCTGTGCCAGGATGGGTGGACAACCTGAACGGTCCGACTGGGTTGCTGGTTGGAGCAGGGAAAGGCGTTCTCAGAACCATTCTGTGCTACCGAGAAAAAAGGGCCGACCTCGTCCCTGTTGACATCCCCATCAACCTCATGATTGCTGTCGCCTGGTATACCGCCACACGAAGGTATTCTTTGCCATTCCACCATCATTTCCAACAGAAAGAGCCCGATAGACTCGGTCTCTGTGTGTCTTAACTCTCGTATAACTAAACGTGAAGGCAAAATTTCACAGGACAATAAATGAGGAAAATGCAGACGGGAATTTCATAAGATATTTTGAAGTGTTGTCGTTTGTCGTGATTATATGTAGAACTAGGTATATAGGACAGGGCCCTATCCCGATTTTGTCACTCCCCGTGCGACTCGTTTGTCGTGATTATATGTAGAACTAGGGATATAGGACAAGGGCCCTATCCCGATTTTGTCACTCCCCATGCGACTCGTGAATCCTGCAAGACCAGTCCTCTGACGGGTTTCACGTCATCGTTTAAGATGACCATGAAAGATTGAAGACTGGTTGCAGCATCTTGGCACGACGAGATATGTAAGCCAATGAAGGCGCGTCTCATATTGAGAATTGAAGTAATTTATGAGTAATGAGGTTTAAAAGTGCGAGGTGACTTCATTGCAGTTCAGGAGACAGAAACGCGGGTATACCCCTGTGTAGAAAGCATTCTCTTGGCAAGCTTTATGGGGAGCATCCCAATCTTAATTGTTCTGTTAATATCCATCTGTGATGGACCTGAAAATGGTGAACAAATCGATGATTAGGCATTATTTATCTTTATTAAGATAAATAGAAGAAATAAAGATAAGTTAAGAGAGATTCCATTCTCTTGACCTTGATTCTTGGGAGGAAAGACGGAAGAGGTTTAAATTAGATTTAAATTAAATTTCAGTAATATAGATTCTTGCAGTTTTTCACCTTGTTATTCCAACGTTAACCATCAGGGGCATTACACGAAGCTACAACTGTGACCATCGGGAGCTTTAGGGGTAAGCTGGCAAATTAAAGTTGAGTTCTGTTTTAATGCATTGAAGGGACCAGGAAGAAATCTTCGTTACAGCCGAAGGTTGTTGCAACCGAGGTTGCAATTTGTGGGTGCAAAATGTGTCCATCTAAGGTATTCCAAATATTTCCGAGAGATTGAAAAATAGTTAGGACTCACTAGAACGACTTCCAACGAAAGTACGTGCCAACGTCCTGTCAATGGAGTGAATGCAAGGATCACTCCTTGTTTTTAGAATGAGGCAATTGCCGTTCTTGGGTTATGAAACGCCTTAGTCATTCAAAGTCCATTAGCTGAAATGCACTGCTCAATTCCATGAAATTAACCTCTTCCTCTCGTCTGAAATGATGGCTGCTAATGCTTTGGAAGAGCATCCAGTGCCTCGTCGTCGCCAAGGAATTTTTTTCCCTTTTGTAAATTCCTTCCTAGGGAAAAAAAAAATCACAAGGGGCAAGGTCAGGTGAGTATGGAGGTTGAGTAAGCAGCTGAAAATTTGCATTAGTCCATGGAACACACAGCTGCACGCACATGCGATTTCTTGGCCAGTCATATTGCAGGAGGATTTCATAGAAGCTTGGATTCTGTTACTCCGATAACCTTCGAGCGATGACCTTCAAAAGTCTCGCACTGCTAGGCTCATCTTCCAAGCTGGCTTTCTCGTCGAAATCCACCAAACCAGTTGTTAACTATGGCAGATGATGGAGCAGATGTTCCAAATGCTTGCTGTAAACTGGCATAGCACTAAAGCGCAGCTAGCGCGACTTTAAAGTTTTAGACATTCGTGGCACGGAAATACTCTTAGAGCAGCATCCATGGCAGGATGCGGAGTACATATTCCTGCCGATGATCCTCATTATCGTTCAGGAAACGTGCCTTATGGCATGAGATAGATTTTGAGTTGAGCCTTGATTAAGACATCTCATGACAGCGATGTTCCATCCAAAGGGGATGCATGCAATATTGAAAGGCAGTTCACCGTTCTCAATTGATACGCTAATCAACTTCCTGCATAAGTATCAGTTCGTAACATATACGCAAAGTGGGACAGTTCGAACAACTGAATTGAAAAAAATGTTTTGTCTATTAAACCACAGAATTTCCCCTCTCAAATTATCGAAAATATATTTGCAGAACTGCTGTGTAACTGTTGTGCTAAATTGTGCAGACCCGGGAAGGTGTTGGTCTTCAATTGCACTTCGGGAGAATTCAATCCCATCCGATGGGGAGACATTGAGACTTGGGGTCATACTATCATTCACAAGTACCCATTCAACGATGTTCTCTGGTATCCCAGTGGGGCCTTCAAGACCTCTAAGACTCTCAACAATATCTATGGCTATTTCCTTCACTACCTCCCGGCTTATGTCCTTGATGGCATCGCACTCGTCTCCGGAAAGAAACCCGTGTAAGTCCTTTTATACCAAGATAGCAAACATCTTGATCGATGCATGAACCATGATGTATGATGGCAGGATGCTTCGGATCCAGAGGAAGATGACGCGAGCTATGGACGCCCTGGAGTATTTCACGACTCGAGAATGGCTCTTCAAGTCTGAGAATGTCCCGATGCTCCTGCAGCAATTGAACCCAGTAGACCGGGACAGGTTCAACTTCGACATTCGAGGACTGAACTGGTATTTGTACCTTCAGAGTTACATCCTTGGGACTCGGCAATTCGTGCTCAAGGAAGACCTTTCCTCCCTCCCGCGAGCTCGGAGGCACCTCAGGAAGTGAGTCTCTGTTTCGAAATACATTTATCTAGGCCTCAGGGCTTTAAGTTTAATAGGGAGACGGTTGACATTGAATGCTTTGTTATCGGACTAAGGCTGATCACAAGTCAAGGGAGAAGGGAGGTCTCTTTAATTTGGAACATTCTGGGAGTCATGAATATTGTTGAACGAGAGACCGCATTCCAGAGTCCTAGGTGAAGGATTTTTCCTTCCGGGAGGTTACGAAGTCAACGGGAGGTGGAGATTGCGAAATCGAAACTCAAGAAAGGCGCATCATTGTCAAGGACTTACTACTCCTCCCTCTTCATTCCCCCCGGAATTCAATCCGTGAAATTAGCCCCTTTCGACTCGCTATCGACAAATCGAATCCTGAAAGCGGGTCTTTAAGTCATGAAGAGAGGTGCCTTTCAGCCTTCAGGTCGGATCACACGATGCACAGTTCTTGATTATTGGTTTCTTTTCTTGGATTTAGTTTTCCTGACCGGTATATAGGAATGCAACTGGGTAAACGATCTAGAAATACTGAGCCCACCTGGTGCTCGTCGCGTGATCGTTGAGATGTATATAATATGGACTGAAATGCTAAGCGGTCTATCTGCAAAAAAAAAAATGTTTTTCCTCGGGCTCCACTCGGAAAGAGTGAATATTTCAGTGACAGTCTTGTTAAAAATGAGAAAAAGTGTGGATCGAGAGAATACTACATCTTTTACATAATGATAGAACCATGTTTCATTTAATAGAAAATTCCAAAAAACTAAGAGCATTAAACCAACTATACTTATTTCGGAAATTTTTTTTTGTGCATAAACCGCTTCACCTTTTAGCTCTTAATATATAAGCGAAATGAGCGAGGGTAAACTCCTCCATCAGGGACATGTCTAAGGGGGAAGGGCAGTTTGAACCCCCGACCCTCCCACCTCCCCTATTTGTTATCGTTAACATCATCCCTGACCCTATTTTGTTCCCATTCGTCCTTCGAGCCCGTGATAGTGTTTATGGGGGGTTGAGGGTTCAAACTGCCCTTCCCCCTTAGACATGTCCCTGATGGAGGAGTTTACCCTCGCTCATTTCGCTTATACTGTATATTAAGAGCTAAAAGGTGAAGCGGTTTATGCACAAAAAAATTTCCGAAAGAGGTATAGTTGGTTTAATGCCCCTTAGAGCTATGTTTCATTTAATAGAAAATTCGTTCCCCAAACTTTCTCCCTCCTTTCGACTCCTGCTCCTATCCCTGCCCATTTGAAAGTCCTAGATGCATCTGTCTCCAACCACCATTCCCAAATTTCGGTTACGTAGATGTATCTTTTCGGTACCACCTTCGCGAGTCTGGTATCCCTATCTCATTCTGTTCAAGTTCACATTAAAAAAAGGTGCTTGTAAAAATAAAACCCGGATCCCATTTTTTGCTCACAAACTCTGAGTTCAGGTTGTGAGGGGTGTAGTTGCATTCATGGTTGCAGTTATTTTTAAATATAGTTAAGTGGATGGAGCCCCCCCTGAACCAGGTGGGGAGAAAGACTTCTCCTTTATCAAGTTTTGTTTTGTTGGAAATGAGGTGCAGGTTGCATAGCCTGAGAATGTGTGTGCATACATGGCTTATATTGCAGGTTGTATTGGCTGAGGATATTGGTGCATACCGTGTTGGTGATGGTGGTTCTTCGATTCCTGCTCATGCGGTCCGACACCGTCCGTCATGTCTGGTACCAGTCCCTCACCTTCATCTTCTCTCTTCACACACTCTATGCCAAAAAGAGCATCTCGCCGCTACCTTCCAATACCAAATGATGACCAATGATCCTCCTCCTCACTTATATACATCATAGACAGACTGACCTTTTCATGTGTATTCATTGCATGGGATCTCCAACTTTTAAACTTTGGTGATGGTGACCGCTTATCGTCGGGGCTAGGGGTTCTCTCTCTCTCTCTCTCTCTCTCTCTCACTCTCTCACTCACTCTCTCACTCTCACTTATAAATCACCTTCCTGTTTTTCTTTCATTCGCTGTTTCCTGCCCATCGAAGGCGAGGGAAGGCTGTTTTTGCTCTTCATTCGTAATTGTATTGCATTGTATTTCCCCATTCACTTGGTTTCTACCTTTTCACTTCAGACTTTTTTCTTGTTTTTATTTCAATTGCTCAGTCGAGATGATTAGCTATTCAAAGTCTAGTACAATTCGCTTAATTCTAGAACGCTCTCAACTTAATGTCATTCAATAGTTTCCTGTATATTCTCGTAGCCTGTGATACATTATGGACATTTGCGTCAACATTTTATCTTGTCATTGTTACAATCTTGCCTTTTCGCACTCAAGTTGTATACCTGTTGAGGAGTACACCTTGCTCCTTTGCAATCCTATATCCTTCACATCTTTCAATGTCAAAATTTTCAACCTGCCAAATATTTTGGCTCTCATGAATGAATACAGAGAACAACCTTCACTGCTGTTGAATATTTATGCGATGTCCAAAGTCTGAATGCAGGGGAAATATTGATGGGTCGTCTCGTGATACTTGAGGTTTTAAGAAATGTGACTGTGCATGCAACCAGGAACAGATAACATTTCCATTTTAACATGAATTTATCTTGCATGTCTGCTTAAGAAACGGCACATTCGGTATGTGACTGCACTCCATCTGGGGACCTAGAAATAAAGCACTCTCTTACACTTTCTGGCTGTCTTTCAATAACATTGGTGGTGGGTGGCAGGAATGAAGAGATTTCCTTCTCTGGCATGGGTTCCCTGGGATCATACTGGGGAAAGTCGCCTTTTAATATTGCGTTTAAAAAATATTTCCACTTCCTATGCTTGTTGCAGCAGCTGGTACATATCCTGCCTTTCCCTTGATTACCTCATTTTACACGATGGCAGGAAATTCTGTATCGTTGGAAAGCTGCACTAAGATCCAATGGTATACAATATGCTGTCATGGCTGCATGGGATAAGGAGCAATCTTATGAGAAAAGAAAAGACGAAATGCCCCTGTTAGGAATGCCCAGGAAACGGGACTTTTTTTCATCGAAAGGGTAATTGCTGCATTGTGGCGCGCGAAGCGCTCACGGTACTGGTTGCCCACCTTTTCTTGGATATGGTGTTAAATCTTTATCTTTAAAATTCTTTATAGCCGTGAAACTATCCGATTTCGCTCTATGTGCCTGCCACTCTCGCTCTCGGTCAATCCTATTCTCGCCCGAACAGACTGTCTTCAATTTGGATGGGCCGCACGCGTTTCGAGATATTTAACTATTTTTGCGTTTTCTAAGTGCCAGACTTAAAAAATGCGTGACTAGTCAGGTAATTTCTTTATCGTCTAAGCGACCGAAAGCGCTGATTTTTAACCCTACAATGCTTGATTTTTTTAATGCACCAAAAACATTTTTGACGATCATATCTTTCCATGTGATTGATGAGAAAAATAATGAAAAAATAATCCTTTTATTTAGGTTTTTCCATTATACGTTTCAATGCAAAGCAGAGCGTGCCACATCTGGCGCAACATGCAGTTTAGGGTTAAATAAATGGGTAAACGGGAAGGGGAAAGGTAGGTTAGTTATTTTAACTTTGAGTAATGCCTCATTTGAGTACAGATTTTGTATACGCATTTATTTTTATATTATTTTAGATAGAATACTTATTTTAAGTTGAATACCCTGGAGGCACTGCAGTGCCTCCAGGTCTGAGGTTCCAGAGTCCCATTGGCAATACTCCATTAAGACCGTGCACTGTGAGCTCATGGCATGGACGTATTCAAGCTTTGTCTTTTTATTCTAACATGGGTTTTAAGTGAGGCTTTCCACCGAAAATGTCTGTTCACAGCTTCATTGAGTCTGTTTCTCAAGAATAGGCTTACAGGCTAGACTCATTTCTTAAGTTCGGCCTATCCCACCTGACTAGGGAGTTAGCTGAGAATGGCGTCAGAAGTGTCACTGCATGTCTTCCAACAATAGACACAGACTCCAGTCCTCTTGTATCAACAGAAGATACCTACTTGAGTCGATTAGCACTCGAATCTCTGGGGCGCCATGTACAGGGTGTGCCTGAAATGTCAAAGCATTTAATTCGTTCAAATTAAACCCAATAGCTCAAAATAATGGTATAGTGTTCAAAATACGACAGTTTTATTTATTACCTTTTCTGCTGATCATTGACAATCCAACATTATCGTCCTTATTTTTGGATCGCTTTCCTCCACCGACGAGTGGAATTTCTTATAAGTGAAATTCCACTCACCTTCATGCGCATATCAGAATTCACTTTGAAACAGCTTTTCAAGAAAAGCTTGCAGTTCTTCTAGTTATACGCTTTTTGTTGAAGCTCCGTTTTCTACCAATCCCAATAATCGCTCGAATGATGAAGTAGTGAACTGTCAACAAGAGACGCACATTTTTTACATGTGTCCATGTGGTTTAGGAATTTTCTCCGGTTGAGGAAAACTATCCTGAACATCCTTTTCTGTTGATCATGAACAGTTCATGATCAACAGAAAAGGCCTAGACTAAAATTGAGTAAAATTGACTAATATTGAGTGCCGCGTCGATGTTGTGTGATGTTAGGTATAGATTTTATACACGAATAGAATCCCTTAATATCTTGTGTAACGCACTTTACTATGTACAATATCTTTATGGGTGACTGACAGCAGATTGCTTGGAAATCGACGGAAACAGAGGAAAACCTTTGAGACCTTAAGTTGGCAAACGCAGCGATGAAATACGCCTATTTTTTTCGTGAGCCATGTTTATAGATCTATTTGATTTCACTACGATGCAGACCTCGTGAAGCCCCCGAAAAGTATGAGAAATAAGATTAATTGAAAGGACTGTTGTGGACCTATAGCAGTAGCTAAACTCGTTGTCTTACAGTGCTGATTCGTATTAACCGAATTCTGCATATAGTTCATGATTCTAATAGGGCAAGGATCGTTTCAAAGTGAAGAACGTTACCGGAGAAGAAAAATTGAAAATTTTTGTTGCTGCTTTCATGAGCGAGCGGTGGAACCTGTTCCTCACCCTATGAAAGCCTAAGCCTTTTTTTTTTAATTAGCTGAAAATGAAGCTTCAGACTGAAGATGAACATTCATAGGCGCGCAGCAGTAGAGTGACGAACGTTAATTGAAACTGATATTATTTCAGTGAGATGTGGCTAACTTGAACTTTATGACGAATTTACGCCATCAGTCAAGCATTCCTTTGTTTTTATTGTATGTCAGATGATCCTCAAAAGCATTCATTCTCAACCACAAGCAGATCCTAAAACCACTCCTATCGTTACCCTCTTCGACTACTAACTTTTGGGCCAAAGTCCTGTCCATGGAATCGGACCATTTCAGGTATTGAGTCCGTCAGTTTTTTATTATTACATCCATACAATCCAGTTATTCATTAAAGTATTTCACGTCATTGATCAAAATGAGGGGCGTCCTTATTCAGTTATCTTATTCCGGTTCATCCCGCCTCTAAATTGCCATAAAGAAGTTTTTGTATTTATTTTTTTTGCTGGTAAAGGCTGTCGTCCTCTAGAAAAAACGCGGTTAATGTTGATCCTCCTGGAGCTTGAACCTACTCCCATTTCAGTTTCCAATGAGGCTATGTTGTCGAAATATAAAAAAAAAAACGTTTCACCCTCGTATCCACTTTTAGTTGGAATGACCTGCATGAAAAACAGCTGTATTGCAATATTTCAGCCACTGGGCAACAGGAGGTGAAAAAGGTGAAGACACAACAGTGGACTGATCCAGGGATTCTCTTATCTGCCCGATCATCAGTCGCTTTCCCGTTCTCGTCTTGCCAAATCCGTGTCTGTGAAATCCTGTGCTACTGTGAAGTCTTCACGTCACTGTTGTGACATCGTTGGGAATCAGCCAGTCCAAATGGCATATTTAAACTCTGCAGTCTCCGATTGTGTTTACATTGGGTCATGTGCAAGAATACAGGGTGGACGATGTTTGCCGCACGGTTTGTCTGGTTTGCACAAAAGTTGCGTCTATCAGGGTTCCCCTTCCGTCCCGCGTTGAGAAAGCTATTGTTCCACGCTCTTTAATATATCCTTGTTCCACAGCAGTATGAAATAGTCAATATTTTTGTGGGAAAAAGTGTGATGAAGCCGTCCCCCATCAGGTTGGACCTGAGGGAAAATCGATCACCCGAACTGTTGGAAACGTTCTAGTCTGTTGCTGGAGTGGAAATGTTACTTACTCTTGCAACAACTTTATATGTTTCCATGCCTTGATGTAGCTCATAGCGTCCCTTATGTACCTGCCAAAGGAAGTAGACAGCTGACAGACCTGTTCTTTATAGGCTTTTTTCTTTTGACTATATAGATAAATTCTTTGCAACTTTGTATCATTTCTTTATTTTTCACTCCCTTTTGGATGACTGCGTCAGGTTGTCCACGTTTGAGAAATTGTTGTGTATATTGTGACATAGTGATTTTTTCTATTCATGCAGATGTTACTTGAACAAATGACAAGACGTTTGGGTTCCTTCATGTCCCTATGTCACATATTTTATTTGTTACCCTTGGGAATGTGAAAGTTGAACGAAATGAAGAGTGGGAGTCACACTTGTCTTTCCTTCACGGTAAATGTCACTTTTTCACTTGGGGCAATGAGGAATTTGTGATGAGTAGTCAGAGTTCCATCGTAGTGAAATATGAACTTCTCGATCAACTGGAAGAAAAGATTTGGGGTTCGTCTCAATGTTGGGAAAAATGCAAAGTTGTCTTTTCGTAAACTAAAAAAATGTTCCATACCTTGGCAGTGATGACGAATATCTCTTGCTCAGCAAATCTCCTTCCGACGCACATCCTCGGACCCCAGCCAAAGGGGAGAAGCAAAAATGGATGAGAAAACGACCTGTTCAGCCATCTTTCTGGTTTGAAACTCTGTGGTTCTGGAAAGTTCTCTGGCAGCAGGCAGGCTGTCATAGTGTGACAGCAAATCGGGATCTGGTAGTTCCACAGGGGAATGTCACGTCGTGCAACATTACCTTCGACAGATGAATTAAGTACACTTGAAGGAAATAGGACACTCACCCCAGCTGGAATAAAGTAGCCTTTGAGATTGACGTCCTCTGGGAGAATCCTCACGAGGTTGGGTATGGTTGGCATCAGTCTGGAAAGTGTGAAAATTACAGGATTGAGAAAGAGTTCCCAACCTTCTCATTCTAACGTCTGCCCTAAAGAGACACTCAAGGCAGTATAATGAACCCACATTACGCTACGACGAACTGCATCCCTCCTTGAAAAATAAATTCAAGTACGCTGCGAAAAGGAAGTTTGCCACTGCCACGTCAAGTACCAAACGTAACCTCAATCGTTCGAGCAATTGGTGATGGATGACGCCTCAAGACCTACATGTGGGTTAGTATCGAATCGTCGTAACCCATGTTGACGAATGGACACTGTCGACAGTTGAGCGAACGAGACCATACATCGAAGGATTCATTCATAGAAGTGTCTGGAGAACGAAAGGTTTAGGTCACCGAATGCTTACAAAGCTGAAAAAATACTGGTTTTATATTCCTCGTTTTGGCCGTCTTGATTTATGTGCCGAGTCAGTTGGGCCTCTGGTAACATCCCGTTGTGCATCGCACATTTGAATCATGTAAGAAGTGATCAAGTCTCCACAAGGGCAAGATAAGTTTGTGATACATATACTGTATTTCCAGTGGAAGAAGATGGGGAAGAAGTAATTGAGCCTTATAAAGTACAGGGTGATTTTTAAAACAGTTCCTAGTTTCCAATTCACATAACTCTTTTTGCAGTAACATTTCAGTGACCATATTAGCACAGAATATGAAGAAGGCATGGGAGACTCGTGTGGACTCAAAAATATGGATGAATCATGGGAAAATACTCAAGGGACAGCGCTGAAGCAATATGGCGTCCTTCACAGAGGAGCATAAATTGTTCCTTTTGAAATGGTACTCCAAGCTAAACGAATCACCTGTAAGTGTGCAAAGACAGTATCGACGGCACTTTCATACCAGGAATCCAGCAAGACTAATACCAGACTTCTTAAGCAGTTTAAGTCGGAAGGTGATGACCGTTGAAAGGGTCATTTCGAGTATCCAATCATCCCACAAAATTTCGCTCTTGCCCGACGAATGTTAATCCGCAGTCCCAGAAAGAGCGCCCGATGAGCTCCACAACTTGATATTTCGTATTCAGCACCATGGACGATTTCCTATACCTGGGGCCTGTTCCTCGCCTCTGCTAAACTTAAATCTAAATCTAAAAGCAGTCTTAAAGGAAAAAGTCTATTCTTCACCCTGACGATTTAGCCTAAGATTTAGATTTAGATTTAAGTTTAGCAGAGGCGAGGAACGGGCCGCAGTATTTCTACATATCCATACTAAATGCACCAACGGGCGACGGAAATTATTAGGTTGAGGAAAAAATTCGTGCGCCGTTTGCGACGCTGAAGGTGAAGGTTCAGTGGCTCCGTACCTTCACCTTCAACGTCGCAAACGGCGCACGAATTTTTTCCTCAACCTAGTAACATGGAGAAACGTTTCCTGTTCGCACGGAGGCAATCTTCCCTGTTAATCCCCAATTTCTCTCTCAGTTTGGCGTCGTGTGATTAAGAGAAATGGAGGTCACATCGGACATATCATGTTCGGATCAATGAGCCCACATGAATCTTCCATGTCTTCCATATTTTGTGGAAATTTGGCTACTGTAATGTCATAATCAGTGGCGGCTCGTGATATTTAGCGCTAGTGGTTCGTCTATGGAGAGGGGGTAGGCAGTGACCTCCTCTGCCTACCCCCTCTCCATAGAAGAACCACTAGCGCTAAATATCACGAGCCGCCACTGGTCATAATACAAGTTATGTGAATCGAAAACTAGGAACTGTTTTAAAAATCACCCTGTATGAACACGCTAGGATTTTGATTTTAGCGCTATCCCAATAATTCTACGCCTTTTGTCTCCTACCTGCATCCAAATTTTCATTTCCATGAAGTCTTTGTTCGCAACTTGTCAGGCCTATGTAAAACGTTGAGCCGGAGCTTAAATAAACTCCAAGAGTCTCTCGAGGCTATCAAGTTGCAAAGTGAACCTGTATTATTAATATTCTTCAGGGACGAATTACTCAGAGGCGCTTCAAGAGAAGAAATACTGTAAAAACACGGGTCCTGGTTGCCGCTATATGGCTGTGATACAGATGGACCAAAGATATAGTGAAGTTCCCTTCTGCAGAGTACTTATGGCATCCAGGCCCATCCAAAAATGTGTTTTTTTGAGAGGATTTTCCTCTAATATTTCTTTTTCAATGAATGCAACATATCGGTCTTTTTCACTTTTTCATATGTATTTTTCATATATTCGACCCTGACGTTTGCGATGAAACTCATGATTCCAAGATTTCTCGTTTCCCTACATTTTGATGTTTCAACGAAAATAATTTTTCATCGAAAAGATTATAATAGGCGAAATATCATTTTACCAAATTTATTCGATATTTGGAGTTTCGTCCACCTGATAAATCGACCTTTCGAGTTTTCGGCGATGCTACTTTCAATACTTTCGAATCGACGAAACAAGTATCTTGATTTCGAGTAGTTTAGGTTCGAGATAAAGCGACCATGAATATATAGACGAGTGACAAAAGACTTCCAAGATTGATTTGGGATAATAAATCTTTTTTAATCATTCGTGATGCTTCTTATTGACTAAGAGGCGGTAGAGGGCAAAGTGAGTAAGAGACATTTGTCGCAATTATTTGTTCTTTGCCTCTTTTTTACCCTCTACTGCAGTTTGACAAAAACACGGAAAACAAGCATAGAAGTGTACCGCTAGTCTTAGTGATTGCTATCCCAAGTATAAAGGGCCATTCCACGTCAGGTCAACAGCGATTTGGCTGAAATTTGCTACAGAGGTAGCGTTTAGCCCAAAAACATGAAATCCTTTTTTTCTGACCAAAGGTTTGTCCAGGCGAAATTACGAAATTTTGACCTATTGTAGCTGGTCAGGCTGACCTCTACAATATTGAATAACTTCTTACCTATTTGTCATCAAAGGTTCGTGTAGGACGCATTTTAAAGGTATCATTGAGCTCTATCGTGTTCATCTCATTTCAAATTCATATTTCTGAATACTCATTTTGTATGAAAAATCGAAGGCGTCTGACCTTTCACCCTCATATAAAAATATATTATTAGTGAAGTTTAAACTTCACTTAATTTACATAGCAAAAATAATATGGTAATAAAAAACTTCAGGAGACTTCTTTTGTATCAGTCTCGAGATATGTGCAAAACTGTGCCTGACATTTGTTGTTTTTGGGAGCATTAATTTCAGATAGCTCAATATCGATTTGGCCGACCTACATCATATCGTCTCAATTAGGGGGCAATGCAGTTCATATATCTTCAGGATCAGTTTTTAAACCAGTCCCGAGACATGTACAAAACATTTTTTTAAAATTAAAATTGAAATATAAACATTGCTTACCAGTCCTCGGTAATAAAAAATTTTTTTTTCTACCATTGAGGAAGCAAAAAACATATTTAGCAGGAATTCGGATTTACGTTTTCCAAGCGTCATGGGAAGCATCTTTTGACATCAGAATACTTCTTCCCGAAGAAAGAAGTCGGGAGGAAAAGTTGGAACAAAGGATATTAGAATCAATCCAACTATAGGATTACAGATACTGTAAAACATGGAGAGAAATATCTGATGGACGAGGCCCAATCAGGAAAATTAATGTCTGGTTCTTATGGTCATCCTAAGATGAATCAAGGAACGAGAAGGGTGCGTCGATAAGGATCACCTTTAAAAGTACTGGGTTCATCGGGTCAGAGAGTGGTTTGTAGGAGTCAGTGAGTCTGATCATGGTATGGAGTATAGCCTATCCAGTCCAGCAGGTGTTCTTCTGGGAGGTGGATGTGGTACTTGTGCTGTGTGCGTATACACGCTACACCAAAATGTCAAACTGATGTTATTGATGGGGGGGGGGAAACTTAGGCGAACCTACAAAGAACTGATCTCCAATATTCTCTGTCACCAGCCAACAGAAGCCTGTTTTTTGGGACAAGGCAAAAACTACCCAAGAATGGAATTCCTGCAAGACGATTTGCTGACCAGCTTTGAAGAAGGAATGGTGAACACGATTACCTCTAAACAATGGGTGTCCACTGATCGGCAAATCTGAAGGCAGTTGTTTCTTCAGCAGAGGAGTTTGTAGTTAAGTTGCTGTCAAAGCTAACACAGCTGAAGAGTCACGATTTCATTGCAAGAGAACAAGCTGCATACCTATCCAAGATAAAGGAAGAACACAAGCCTGGGGAGGCGATTGTACTTGGTGACTACTCAGAAAATTATGCTTTTGTTGTGCGAGATGCAGCGCATGGATTTCACTGGAACAACGGCCAAGCAACATTGCATCCATTTGTTCGCTATTTTCGAAACGAGGATTTTGGTGAACTGATGCACCTCAATTTCTGCATAATTTCAGATTCACTGGCCCAGGAGACAGTGGCTGAGTGGCTCAGAAACTCTTCATCCTAATCCTGAACGATAATGTTCACGTACTGTCGAGAATCTTCTACTTCTCTTATGGTGCTGCTGCTCAATATAAAAATAAAAAGAATATCACGATCCTGACTTTGGTATCACCGTACAGTGACACTTCTTTGCGACGAGTCATGGAAAAGGTCCATGTGATGGTCTTGGTGGGGCTGTGAAACGTCTGGCCACAAGGGCCAGCATCCAGCAACCTAAAGAAGGACACATCCTAAGTGTAATTGATCTTTTCAACTTTGCGAAAGCCTGCATTAAAAAAAAAATATCCAGTTCATCTATGTGAAGAAAGAGTATGTCGAAGAGATAGGGAAGACACTTCAGCAACGATTCCAGTCCGTCCAGCCAATCCTAGCAACCCGAAAACATCATTCATTCATGATTCATTCATGCCTATTGATGTGAATCACTTTCAAATCCGAATCTACTCTGCTGCAAAAAAAAAAAACAGTTCTGTGGCGAATAAGGAAATGAGAGTATATATTGCGTCCTTTCACCTCAATTTCTTAATTTATTTATATTGTTGTGTGTGATATTCTCGCAGCATTTTCTTTCCCCAAGCACTACGCCATCCAAGATGTTAGAAATAATAAATGCAATATTCTGAATCGGAATGAGGAAAAAAAGGGAGAACATATGTTGGGGAGTTTGAAAATAAATGTATCTCTTCCTGCTTACACTCCTCTTACAGGTTATGAGATCGGCATCGACATTAAATTTACTAATGGGGGGGGGGGAAATTCAGGAAAAATATAAATCCAAGACCTTTTGGCACAATACAGAACTATGTTGTGTCACCTCCCTAAGAGCAAGAAAACCAGACCAAGGGGTTTAAGAATCGTTGCAAAGACATGCCCTTTACATTGCACTATCCCATGCCACTTCTGGGAAGCCATTTATTCATGCACTTCTAGCCATAGCTCTGCCGTCAAACGAAATAACGTATCTCCAAGCCTTTCATTTTGGAATCGACTATAGATTAAGAATATTATATTAATGATAGCATCGTGGACCCATATTCGTCAACAAGTTTACTTTTAATTGTAAGGCATTCCTCAATTCACTGAAAATAACCGAATCTTTTCACTGGAAGAAAAGCCTGTAATAATATTGTAATAATAACAATATTTACATTCCCATCGGTCCAGAAGAAATTCTTCCATTTTTCATTCTCTTTCCTCAATAATTTGCATTTATTTCACAGGGCTAATATTTTTTACACTTTCGTATTATCGTCCACCCTTGTGCTAGAGCACAAATTGCAATGGGGATGAGGTTCTTGCTTCTTACTTGGAAAGCTATCGAAAAGTACAGGGTGTCCCAAAAGTAGTACAAGGAATTTAGCATTGCCTTACCAGAAAACGACGCATAGTAGAATATGGTGCTTGCAACACTCTGCCAGGTCATGGTACACAGTTTTTCAAGGGATACCCACACGAGCGTTACACACGAAAAATAACGTATTCATGTGTTCCATTTCGTGGGCAGCATTTGTGTGCATGGATCCGCGACTGCCTTCATCCCTGTGACGAGGATTTTCTGGGAGATAGTCTCAAACATTCCTTTGAAAGACTGCATTCCTAACATCGTCTTTCGGTGCAGAATTGCATCGCAGTTTATTAGCATAAACTTGCTCTTTCAAGTACCCCAAGAAGCAATCTGGTGCCGCCAAGTCTGGGGATTTTGATGGACAGGTGATTTCAACCGAAACCGGAAATAATGAGCTGGAAACGGTATACAGTACAACAGTGTCAATGAATATCGGGCTTGATAACAAAATCCATCCTGTGGGAGCAGTAGATCTCTCGAGGAATGGTTATGGTATTGCAGTGCATACAATAGCGCGATGGAGGTTATTATTTTCCATGCATAACAAGAGCGTAACCCTTGATGACTGTGTCATGCAACTCCAGGCTCTCGGGAGTGTGGCAAGCGCATTAACTTAATTCTACTTAGCTTTGTTTTCCGGTAATGCAGGATTAAAATCCCGACGCTTCTTTTGGGACACTCCGTAGTTAAACGGTTGTGCCCCCACTAAGTAAATCCATATGAGCAGCCTTCCGTGTGCCGTGATGATCTGTGGACAGGTAAATCCCTAGACACGCTGAAAGGCATGAACGAAGAACACAATATCTTCATCCCCTTTCCAACAGATTACATCTCTTATTTCGCGACTCACCTTACCACCGCCACGAGGAAAACTGAGACCCGAGTAAGAATCGCTTCGCAGGCGTTGCATTGCCCAATATGCCTTTGAATGCCTTCCGCTTCAGACGATTCTCACGTCCCCCAAGTCTTGCTTCCTTGCTTTTGGGGATATCATCCCTGGTTGGCCCTAACTCCTTTTTTTTTCTCGTCAAAAGGTATTAAATATCATAAACAGTCATACCTGAAGACTTCCTTGACGCAAGCTTTCAAGTAGTGCATATCGGCCAGACTTTCAGGGGTCATCGCCTGGCCTTGAAGAACCCGACGAATTTCCTTATATAGTTCCTCCTGTACGCTTTGATTCTTCGATAGTTGGTACAGAAGAAAGAGCATCACATTGGCAGTCTATCTGAAACAAAAGGGAACGAGCTGTATAGTCGCGAAAGTGTTTATGGCTTCCTTATTGAATCCGGTGAGCTCATGAACTTGCATCATAGATTGAAAGTAAATAATAAATCTGCTCTCTTTCAAGCTCCATCAACAATCGATATCGCATCGATAATTTTTTTTCCCAATTGGAAAAAAATCATGAGTTTAAAACAAGCTTATCTGAGATATGCATATTGCCCTTCAAGAAAGAAAATGCAGTGAATGCGTAGTCACCATTTGTGCACTTGATGCTCTTCCACGTGCTCACCCCCATTATAGTATCTGATAATAACAGTGCAAGAATTTATTAGACGTTCGTCGAATCCTCGAATTTCAGATGTGATCCCACGAAAGTATGGTTTTCGTTTGGACTCATGGTGTTCCAGTTTGCCGTGTGTTCCACTTCAAATCTTCTGATAGAAGTTTCCACGTGCAATAAGCTATTATTCAGTCACAGGATTGAATAGTGGCGTCTCACTTCCTTTGAAGATCGGGTGAGGCGCCCAAGGTATCTAATTTCCTGGAATACTTCGTACATACCAAACGAACAGCCCAGTTGAAAGGGCTTCAGGCTGTTCCTTCTGTTCGTGCAAGATTGTCCCTTCACCGTCACGCGAGAGAGAGAAAATCACTTCGTGGAAATGCTGCAGCAGACTTTTATACGTCTTACGTCTCTACAAGCGACGTAAGTCGCTTGTAGAGATGGACATTCAGATGTATGTCTGAATGTCCATCTTTCCTTGATTTTGGGGCCATAATGCTACCCTTACCCTTTATTTTGTACCACGTTTTCAACGCAAGGGCGATGGACGTCTCGGCTTTTTTTTTTGTTTCTCCTTGGAACGTTTAGAACTTCAATCATCTTCCTCCCATATCCATTCATCTCTTGTGTTGTACACCTAACCCAGAATGGGATGGAAAGAATCCTGTTCCGTGGGTCTTATCCTTTCTTGGAAGTGTGTTGACCCCAGATGGAGGCATGTGTGAGGAAGAAAGAGAGAGAGAGAGAGAGAGAGAGAGGGGGGGGGGGAAAGGATCATTCATTCTGTTTTTGCAAGACTCACGGTGTCGATGCCACCAGTGATGAAGTCGATCATCGTCATTCGAATGTCCCTTTTGTCCATATGAGGGGTATTGAGAAGTTCTTCCAACACACTCTTCTCCCCTTCTTCCCTCGAATTCCCTTTCTTCTCCTCCAATCGAGCTTCTGCCTCGTCGATGTACCTCGAACATATGCTATGGTGAAATACAGGGAATAATATGCGGATAGTGAAATTAACATCGGACATCAAGTACTATATTCGAGCAGTACCGTGCCGAAGAGTTTTGTCTGCGGTGGCAGCCCCGCCTCTATGACCCCTCCCTCCCTCCTTCCCCGTATTAAATGCAATGGCGTCGCAAGAGTCTCCTTATTTGGTATCTAAAAAGAGGTTAGGGTAGGTGATACAAATTCCGATCCCCTTTATCTTAATATCCGCTCCTCGCCTGCGTTGTGAAATTCAAGGTTTTGCATACACGCCAATCGAGAGGAAAATGCACACACCGTCCATTCACGTTTCAAGATATTGGTGTAATTTGGTTGAAAAGGGCCGTTTGGATTTCTTTTTACGTCGAATCAGGTAACGCGGGGGGCGGAGAACTTTATAGCACGATCGGAATTTCTCACCCACCTTATTATGTAACTCCTGCTGCTAGCTGGCGGGCACACTGAGCGAAGGCCCGGGGCAAGGGGGAGGCTGAGGGAAGAACCGCTTTGTTATCGAACAGCATCCCTCTCACTGCAATCTATCATCCTGCTGGCTACATCGCTGCTCTTATAATATGAACGGAACACGTCTTTTGGGTTCCATCTTCAATTCAATTCTGCTTTCATGTTCCAGATGGACACTACAAGAATGACGTACGCGAGTATTTAAAAGAAATGTCCACCATTTTTTTTCCCCAGTTCTTTGGGAACACTACCAACCCCGAAAGGCAGGTGGGGCAGCTGCCCCACCTCCATCTATGATGGACGCACCACTGGATTCGAGCACTAAAGGAAAATATTGGAGTCTTTCCCCCGACAAACAACGACCAAATGAAGGTTAGACCGTGTCTTACTCGTTCTCCGCTGCTCACGTAGAATTCCACTCCCCATACCAGCTAGACTCATACTTAGCTTTCGTGGCACCCCAACGATAACGAACCCTTTTCCATCGTACGAGGGCCGACTAATATATACGACACTTTCACCAAAAAGATGGCGTGCGAATGCAGATTTCGCCTGGAAACGTGTCATGCAGGTCGACTACCGCCTGTCAAATGTAGTCTGAGTGTCGTGGCCGAGGGGTCTTGGCTTTCTAGGGGGCGTGGCAAGAGTGAGACAAGTTTTGCTCTCTCGTCGACAGTCATTAAATATGACAACAGCGATCGACGGCGGACGATGCGGTTTCTGCGGAAAGAAGGGGAGGATACGATGAAACTTTCAAACGCGTGTATAATTTTTTTGGCGAGCGTGCAAAAACTCAGTAATATTTACAACTAGTTTGGCAACTTTAAGAGAATCCTGGGCACCCAGCGCCCACATACCTAGTTTAAACGAAGGTTGTCATGAAGAACGGTATCCAGGGAACCCATGAGAGACACCAGAAAGGACTCGAAGGTCGTGTTACGTCGCTCGTCTATGGACAATTACGATGGCCTCAACTCGACCTCAGCGATCCTATCCGATGTCATAGACGTGCTCGGATGTCCTGAACGTCGCAGGTCTTCAGTTCGCCGGCGGCCATATTCAAATGTGGCCAGTTTGTCGACGGTTTTACGGACGGTGCACGTTCGTCGCAAACACTGTAAAATTCTGACCTTTTCGGCAGTACACGCCCTTCTTTCCATAAAAATTGCACTGTCCAAATGCTGTCGCGTTCTGCGATTGCCCGTGGATGCGTAAAGCTCCATTCACTCTTGAACGATACAAGACGAGTCGACAACATCTGCATAACCTACATTTAGCAAGTAATGATCTACATTTTTACGTCAAATTTCCGGGTGAATTCTGCAGTCGCACATCATTCATTGATGTAAACTGCAAAAAAGGGCGATTCATCCGACTTCCTGCAAATCTGGAGCTTATGCATTCACAGTCGTAACTTCACCGCTTTGCCACCGTGTGTGGATGAGAGAGCCACTTTCACCTTCTTTTTTAATTAAAGGAATTCAGCCCACTTCTCTGCTTGCCAGCTTCCATCTATCTTGCTACTACAACGCCATCTATGTGTTCACGAAACAACTGCACGTCACGACCTTCGATCCTCTACGAATTCACGGCTCCAGTCTATACCTCTTACAGCGATCTCACGGGAAACCGTGGGCCACGACTAACGTCGAGTCCCTCGCAACATGGACTTCATTCGGTGGATTCGCTTTTCTCTCGCTCGTTCCAGCGGATCATCGGAAGAGTCCGTTTACTTTATCCCGCGTCGAGCACGACGACGGAGCGGAGGAAAATCGACGAAAAGACGAAACGGACGATGTCTTACTCGTAGATGGTATCCTCGGCACGGGAATACTGTCGGTAGGCGGGTGTGGAAAAATATCTCCAAAGTTGAGTTCCGAAGTAAGTATTCTGATAGGCTTCCCAGAGGCTGTGAACGGCTTCGAGGAGGTGCAGGGCCGCGGGAGGAGGAGACACTTTCAAGGCTCCGATCCGAGCATCGAGACACAACATCGACACCGCTGTCAACAGACCGAGATAGACATCGATTACGTTCCGTTTCCGTCGTCCAAACGGGGGTCGAACACCCGTTCCAGATTTTTTTCATCGGTCGAGAACACACATTCGAGGGCCGTGCGGAAGAGCAAAGAATCGAAGTCGTGGACGGCGTCGTTCCGCGTTCGATTCGCTCCGACGAGTTCCGTCAAGTCTAAGGCGAGCTCGTTTTGGCCTTTCATGTATCGCTGAATCACCTTCACGTTCATCAACGATGGGGTCAGCTTCTTTCTCAACTCGTACCATTCTTCCCCTTGGCTGCAACCGGGGACGAAAAGGAAAAAGAGAGAACGACTCGTCAGACGAGGGTGAGACGAAAGAAAAAAAAGACCGGTCGGCATTGTTGGAAACTCGATCTGGATGCCTCACGTGTTGACGAGTCCGGCGGAAGCGTATCGATCGGTTTGCTCCGACCTCAAGTGTCTCACGGCTTCGTTCACGGGGCGGATGGGGCATTTTCCCTGTCTCCGGAGAACCCTCTCGAAATCCTCGGGATCGTAGACGTGAATCAACGGCCTTCGCCATTGAAACTCCTCTTTCGAGATCGCTCCGTACTCGTGGTACCTGTCTGATATTAATTTTTGGGCACGATGAATCCCTCCGTCGGGAAGAAATCGTGGACTCGATGCGCATGCGGATCGAAAAGTTTTCGCGACCTCCACGCAAAGGGATCGCCTTAGAGGATTCGCATAATAGCAAGTCGAAGGTAGGTGTAGGTCGTTATATCGGCACGTGCGCTGCCACCTTGCCCCTCCCACCTCTGGTCCGTGGAAGAGCTCAGAGCTTCGAATGACGTTTTCGTGCTCGATCCAAGCTTCGCGAAGCTCAGAAGGAGCTCACGGATGAGAATGGCCCCAGTAGCATCAGATATTGGCCCGATGCTGGACCGACATTGGGTACGTTGGCTAGATCTTGGGCAATATTGCCAATATCGGGTGAATGTTGGGGAAACAATGAAATTTCGATAATGCTATATGATTATTCATTCAATATTGGACCGATGCGGTGATCCAATGTGCCCGACCGCACTTGAAGTTATCCTTAAGGCCACTAGATGGAGGAATAGGTCTCGCTTTTCTCACAGTACACAGAAGTACCCTTCCCTCTTTCCCTGTAATCGTCCTTCACAGGAGTATTTAGTACCTCGCTATATATCTCGCCTAGTCTCATTATAGCAATCGATAAAATCGGACAATTCATCATTTGTCATCCGCAAATTCGAGACAGAATCATGGAGTCCAGGAAATAATCAAGCTCATATTCCTGATGAGAGCCCCTACGAACACGGTCTTTCGCTATCCGAAAGGAGTATTTGTGGGATAAATAGATAGATAAATGTAGAGGGACTGAGTTCACAAGTAATGTGTAGAACAATAAGGAGTTGATCTCCTGAAATGCACTACAAGGGACTGAGTTCACAAGTAATGTGTAGAACAATAAGGAGTTGATCTCCTGAAATGCACTACAATTAGTACCTTCAGGGCAGTCAACCTCTGTACTGTTCTGTCTCTTGCTTATGCACGGGAGAGACTTGTGCATGGGCAAGGGATTATACTGGTACAGGTAGTACTAGTACTGCATATTGAAATGCCTCCACTGGGAAAAAAAAAGGAAAATATTAAAGCTAATATTGGCCCAATGTTTCTCCGTGTAGTAATGCCAATAATAGTCCAAGATGGGTGCCAATGTAGTGTATATATTGACCCAATATTGGGGTGCTACTGGGGGGATTGTCCGCTTTCGTACGATCGAAGGTTCGCATCGGTTCCCACGTTCTCGAGGAGACTTTCGACTCACCGAGATAAGCACGATGTAGCTGCGTTTTGGGATGATTTCCCGGCAGCCAATAGACCCAGTTGGTGCCGATGACCGGCACGGAAGGTCGAGGACCCGGCAGGTCGTCCAAGCCTCTGTCCGTTGCATCCGACCTCACGTCTGCCACTGCACTTCGGACGCCTCCCAACAATTCTCCTGCGACGCATCGCCCCGAGGAACGAGAAAAAGGAGCAATCATTATCATATCTTCCTGCGTCACGATGTTCTCTGTTCGATGACCTCATTGAGGCTGGATCTCGTCGTGGATTTTCCCGAAACGCCATTTCACGCCGGTGTTTGTCTCTCTTCTCCCTTTCTCTTTGGCGTCATTTCTACGTCTTCATTTCGATGACCCGTCGAATGTACGAAACTACATCCAATTCGCTGTTTGATACGCAAGACTTGGACGGATAGAACGGATTCATCTAAATCTTATTTATAGGAAGACATCTTGAAAAAAAAAAATCAGTTTTACTGATGAAACTATCATACTTAACTCATGAATACCAGAAAGATACATCTATGATATTCTATACCTATGAGAGTAATTTCCCTCAGCAAGTGATGGCTAATTCTGGGAAACGATCGGCGAGAATTTTTCAATTATTATTTTCCTATTTTGTATCAAAAATGCGAAAGGTTAACGGTTAGTAGAACTCACCGATGGAACGTTGATTTGGATCGAGAGATCGCACGATACCACGACACCAATTCTTCCAGAGCATGTTAAGGAAGGGTCAACGGCACCCGGAAGCAGTACTTCTCTCCACTCTACAGTACTACTTACGGTACTTTGGTGGACAAGTGAGGCCCCTTTCGAAGAAAAACAGGGAGGGCTAGATATCTAGCCTCTCTTTCTCTATACCACCTTCTTCGATCGGTTGTCGCCCTTATATGACACACTCACGTACGCACACGCACACACACGCACACACACACACACACACACACACACACACACACACAATCTGAAGAGTGCTCTGAAAGTGACAGGAAAGATTTTATTCAAGGAAATGGAACACACACACACCCACACACCCACCCACACACCCACACACACACACACACACACACACACACACGCACGCACACACACGCACGCACGCACGCACGCACGCACACACAGGAGTGAAAAGAGAGAGAGAGAGAGAGAGAGAGAGAGAGCTGGTTCGGTGGCATAGGGGGAAGCAGAAGCAGAAGGTTCTCTCGCCTGGGGGGCAATATCATCTCTTCCCATCTTCCATCCCTACAGCTTAAGGCTTAGGCTCCACGTCCACGGTCACCCTGTTTTCAACCGAAGAGAGAGCCTCAGAGCCTATTCACCCTCTTTCGTCCTTCAAGGACGTTCGGCGCTTCTTTCTCACGCGGAAGTCTGAAGGTCAAGGCTCGACGAAAAGCGAGGAAAAAAAAAGAAAGCCCACGCGGAGGAGCGAGAAACGAGGGGCGACGGTAACGACCGTGAGCGTAATGATGATACGATGATGATGGAGCAATCGTTTCCCCTCCGACCGAGATGAAGTGAATTTTTTTCTTTCGAAAGCCGCTCGTCGTTTTCATCGTTTCGACCCCGCCGATTCTCTCGGGAGGCACTCGCATTAGCTCTAATGGCACCACGCTCGATAAAGGTCTGGAGTTTTTTTCTTTTCACGCGCCGTCGGAGACGATGCAAGACGTCCGGTCTCCTGCCTCGTAGAGCGAAGGGTAGACGTGCCGTGGGCTCAAAACATTTTTACCTCATCATCAAAAAGCAAAATATGCAAGGAGAGCACGAGACCGATGTTCTCGGCATTCTTCCGGTCGGCCGATTCGATCCCCGGTTTCTACAGATGTATTTTCTCGATCCTTCCTCGTTCCTTCTTATCTTGCGACCGGTCTCTGTCGCGTCGTATTTCCAGGAAAGATGTGAGCTCGATCGGGTGTAGATTCTTTCGGGACGACAGAGTGCACGCGCCATGTATGCCGTGTACCTCGTGCCAAAAGGGCAAAGATCCGAAGAAAGGTACCGGAACCCAAATACCTCGATTCGGCTTGGACTCTCGTTAACGGGATTCCCGTTTCGCTCCCGGCCGACGATCCCGTCCTCTCGAGTCTTTTCCATCCGTACGGAACTTTCACTCTCGCGATGACTTCCCAGACGGCGAAGCGCCGACTTCGGCAAACGACCGCGGAAAGAACTCCGCCGACGGACTTCCCCGACCGGGAGTGCCGACTCTGAAGCCCATGCGGCCTGTAAAAGGTAAAAAGTTGTGTCCCCGTGGAAAGCCGGATGCGCGACGTGCGACCTGTGCGCAGATTCCCGCTTCCACGTTTTAAGTGCATATCCTTCCCCGGAACCCAGAACTTCGATTTCGGATATTTTAAACCACTTTCTACCCTACACAAGACTTAAGATGCGTCGAAGTGGCACGAAAACGCCGTGTCGAAAGTCGTCTCTATCTTGACCCACTTTGAATGAGTCAAAATGTGTGTCGAAATTTTAGCTCACGAGGGACATGTTACGATTAGTTTTATACGTATTAATTTTACGCCTACTGTGGCGATCAGTGGTGTTGGGAAGGGGAGGGGGGGGGGTTTAGGCAGTTAGAACCCACTCCCCCCCCCCCCACCTCCCTTGGGCTTCCCAGTAAATGAACACTGACAGACATTTGAACCCTCCTTGGGAATTCCAATTTTAGGTACCCCGCATCGAGGTAAGTCCAATGTCCGTCCACAGACCCAGGATGCCAGACCGCGATTTTAAAGAAATGGTAAATTCCGGGTAGTGGAACTAGGCGTAGGGTTGGAATGTCTATCTTGCCTCAATCCCCCCCCTTGCCGATTTCCTGCCTACGCCACTAGAGGCGATAGACCAGGTGAGGATTACGCTAGATGATGTAGCACGGAATGAAACTGGACCAGTGGCGCAACCAGCCCTCAAGTTTTGGGGGGGGGTTCGAAGTTGTCGTGTCTTTTAAATGTCTCCGAATTCAAGGTGTTATCAAACCATCAGGAGAGATATACTCAACAAAACCGCGAACAAAGAAAATGAAATGAAGAAAAATGTTATGAAATGGTGGAAACGGAATTTGAACTCTAAATGATGAAAGCACATTCGATATCTGAAGAAAGCTTAAAATGAACTAAATTAATTTCGGGATTCAGCCCAAATATCACTGCGGATTACACGTTGACCTTTAAGTAATTGGACATGCTAAGTGCGGAAAATAAACTTAGCAGCAGGAAGGCTAAAGTCTTTTTTTAAGTTATCGCAGTGTACACGTGGACGTTTCCTTGACAGATACACTTTACTAAAGTGAGTTGCTACATGTAACTGGCGTGATCTTCAGCTTTCACCTCCTACCTTTGTGCCTTTCCAGCCTCGCTAGCGGGTCGTTTGCTCGTGTTACCTTTCCCCCAACCTCGGGGGAGAGGGAGATGGAGAAGTAAAGAGATACCATCATGGGCAGGGGTTGGGGGAAGGGTTCAGACCCCTGATCCCCCCCCCCCCCCTCCTTGGTTGCGCCCCTGAACAGGACACATGCTTAAGACTACAGGACAATTTGTTCTCAGCTTCAAGTGAAAAGGTAGACGTGCTTCGGATGGGGACGACAGAGGAGACGGAAAGGAGGCAGACAGCAGGGAGATGGATAAGGGGGGGGGGGGGGGGGGGGGGGGGGGGGGGGNGATGGGGGGAGGGGGGGTCGGGGGGGGGGGGGGGGGGGGGGGGGGGGGGGGGCAAGGGCGCACTGATACTCCCTCAGGCATTTGGCCACTCCTCTCGAACTTCCTCGGTCTAAACGTGTCACGATGACCTACCACCATGATCTTCTAAGAAGTTAAACACGCGACCCCTGACCCGATGAGACCATCCGGGGGCTGGCCGCGGACCGACTCGACCCCAACATCTTCCTGCCTTTCTACAGCAATCTTCACGAACCCATCGTCACCTCGACCGACTCCATCATCATTGTCTACATACTTCACTGTATATTCTACTTCATCTCGTTCTTCCCTTTTGCAAAGGTTATCGATAAAAAAAGAAAACACTTTCGACCCGAGAGAGCTTTCTAGGGCTCCTCCAGAATCTTCGTTTGGTCCGGTAGATTACTTCCACTTTCGCCCCAGTGGATTCTCGCCCCTGAAAGAATCACAAAATGCGATTTAATCTTCGATCTACACACGGTTAGGGCGAAAGTACACAGGGGAGACTTCCACGCCAGATTTTCACGACTGATAGCCATATCTACCTCAATCTTTAAAAAAGGGGAGGCAAGGTCGACTCCCAGTTTCACTATCCATCCCCGTGTAAGACGGATTCTGATATATGGCTAGAAGAGCCGCTTAAACATTTTTGCACTCTTGGCTTTGATTTAGCAGGGGAAATCGCGCATGGAATCGCAGCTGGTCGTGCTGGAGACAGTGGATGCCAGTCCATAAATCCTTCATTCGGTAAAATGAAAATAACTGAGGGTTCGAAGTAGGGAAATTCTGGTCAGTATGCATGAGAAGATATCGATCCATGCGGATGGCATCCCACGTATATCCAAAGGACGACCGCCTCTGGACTTATACTCATCTTTGGACAACTGGACCGTCCATGGATAACTTTTGGATCACCCATGGCTACTTGGGAGGGGATGAACGAAACGGTTAAGAATTGTGAATTCCAGGAACACCGATGATCGATACGTGTTCCGACGTGTTGGATTCCCCCTCTAAGAAGCGCCGATCTTTCGCAGCTGACACATATCACGAAATTCCCGTATGGCAGATGATTGTATGGAATCCATGCTAACTTAATGTGGCAAGTAGAAGCCGTCGATATCGACACGTTCCATCGACGGGNGATGTTGATTTTTTTTTTTTTTTTCAACTTCAACCAAGTCTCAACGTTTCAACCTATTCTCAATGTTGATACAACGTTGTTGTACCGAATGGGTATTCATCTATCAATATTTCGGACGAACGAAATTTATCTGTAAAAAATGACGCAGCCCTGCATCATGTGGTGTCATTTGGTTAGACCATCTGTTCCTTCGGAAGCAGTTCGTCCAGATCAAAGTTTTTTTTTATTATCTGCATGACCTTCTAATTTCTTATTTATACCATCATCATTTGACTGTAATATAAGATTCTTCATAGGAACAATGATATCTGAATCCACGAGGGACTATAGTTCCTATCCACTCCAAGTCACTTTCAGTATCTATCTTACGTAGGGTGGGAAAGTGAAACTGGGAGTTAACCTTACCTCCCCTTTTAAAAGGTCAAGCAGACGTGGTTATCAGTCAAGAAATCAACGTTTGGAAAGTCGCCCCTGTGCACTCTCGACCCCGTTTATCGAGATGAGATAAAGGGGGAAATTTAGCAACTATCTATGAATTAAGTCTCTGGGGCGAAAGTGGAAAACACCGTCCGATATGAGCCATAGGATATTCCCCCTCAGAAAATGAGAATGCTTGTAGAAATGCTCAGAAGGGTACGAAACAGGTCACATCGACACACAAAAAGTTTTCTGTGCAGTAAGTTTTGTACTTAAATATAGAGGAATGTATAAAGGAAGCTTAGATCAGCTTCTTTTATATTTTCCGGATCGATCGGGATTAGACATTCGCGATCGTCCACTTCTTACGCTCTTCTCTCGCCGTTCTATTGCCATATTGCCTCTGTCTCTTCTTTAACGAATGGCACATCGAATTCATTCGATGCCGATCGACACCCGTCGATGGAACGTGTCGATATCGACGGCTTCTACTTGCCACATTAAGTTAGCATGGATTCCATACAATCATCTGCCATACGGGAATTTCGTGATATGTGTCAGCTGCGAAAGATCGGCGCTTCTTAGAGGGGGAATCCAACACGTCGGAACACGTATCGATCATCGGTGTTCCTGGAATTCACAATTCTTAACCGTTTCGTTCATCCCCTCCCAAGTAGCCATGGGTGATCCAAAAGTTATCCATGGACGGTCCAGTTGTCCAAAGATGAGTATAAGTCCAGAGGCGGTCGTCCTTTGGATATACGTGGGATGCCATCCGCATGGATCGATATCTTCTCATGCAGACTGACCAGAATTTCCCTACTTCGAACCCTCAGTTATTTTCATTTTACCGAATGAAGGATTTATGGAATGGCGTTACGAGCATCCGATCGTGGGATTTATTTATTTATTTATTTTTTCTTCTAATCTCTCATCTTAGGTCGCAATCCGGTAACTTCAATCAATATATAGATAGTGGAACATTATGATCGAACCAGTCCATGATTGCACTTTGATTTCGACAGTACGAACGAAACGATGCGTCAGTCCTTCTTTGGGCGTCCATTGGACCTCCAGCAAAGGAACTTCCAAGGACAACTTCCTATGGTCTTCCATCGGATGTCCTTGGATGGAATCCCCGCCCCGTTCAGGCCTTCAATCTGACCTGACATCTAGCAGTGCAATAAAAAATATATCATGTTCCCATAATATTAGCGAGGTCGCACTCATCCCGCCGATGTATGTCTCCCGATTCCCATAATGCTAACGAATTGTTCTGCGTAAGCTTTCATCCTCTACTCGATAATTTCCCACGTACAAGCCCGAGGAATGAAGTCATTCTAATTAATTCATTTGGTGAGAGACGTAACATAACTCAAGGAGACTCCCCGCAATTCTTGCACATTGCACGGTGAGAGTGTGGTTCCCTTGTCAAGTACGCCTGTTCCTTCCATTTAATAATAACGTCTCCTATGGGCATGGGAGAAAACTCTTTTCATCATAGAGGTAAGGATGAGAAGTGGATTCATCTCAATAATACTTTGTCTTCCATCTTAAGCTCTCTCTACCAGTTCCTCCAAGAAACTTGAGAGAAATTTGCAGAAAATGCACCTTTCCTTCACCATGAATATTCACGAGCATGCTAATTATGCTCCATAGCTACCGGGGGATTACTATCGCTTGCTCCTCTCAATGGTCATCCAAAAGCTTTCCCAAAGGGAATCTCCAATGGAACCAAAGAGACGGACATCCAATTGTCCATCCAATGGACGCGTCCAAGGATTTTCCTTGGACGAGACATTTAGTCATCCAGGGGATGTCCGAGGAGGATGAACATTGGATGTCCAAGTGTCCATGAGGGTATGTCCAATGGATTTATTTTGGATCAAAATGGCTGCTTGGGGTGCGCAATAAGGGGGACTGAACACACTTTTTCAATTATTTTAAACGTGTTTTATGCTTAAATTTCTTAACGAGGCACTCGTCCTGAAGTTGGGGATCCACCCAGACATCGTCCACTTCATGGCATTAATGGTAACCTCGCAATTATCTGATTACAGCTCTTATTGCAATTAGAAACATATTTTTAATCGTATATTGGTTGATTTGAATATTGGGTGGAATTTAACTCTTTTTTTTGCAAAAATAGGCTAAAACCGAAGCGATATGGCACCTAAATTGAATATGTGGCGAGCCTTTTTTATTTATATCTATCCAAATATCGTTTTCGATCCTGGCTGAAATTTTGTATAAAGGAATATTCAATCTTGAATATGGATGAAGTTCGTGGTATACAGACCTTGTGTTGTGATTTCCCCCACCAATTAACTGGATTTTCAAAGACTACTTTCTAGAGAAATATAAAGAAAACTAAAACATTGTCTTGCATGGCGATTGCTAAGGAAAGGGAAGTAAGGTTTAACAGAAGAACGCCACGGTCATAGCTAGGATAGCGAGGAAGGGGGGGGGGAGGGGGCAGGGGGGGAAAGGGGGAAGGGGGAAGAGCGTTTCATTTGTACTTCGCGGTTGAATATAAAATATCGCTCTGGGGATTATGGAATAAGACCTCAGTCGGTATCCTTGCCTTGCTACTCCTCGATTCCTTTAAGAAGTGTATTAAGAAATGATCCAAATATGATGAACACCATCGATCAAATTGGGTTTCGTTAGGTCATCTCCACACAGGACGTAGACGATACCTCTATGCAAAGCAGAGAAGATGTTGATGAATTTCTGACACTTCCACCTGGAGTGCAGTTCCCAGGCTCGCCGTTACCGGTTGACCCCAGAGGCAGCAAAATCTGACGGTCGTGCCTTTCACTTTGAAGCTCTAATTCCTTGCGTGGGTGCCACTAGAGAAGCGATGAATGGAAACGATGCGTACTCGAGTGACGAAGCGAGACACAAACCTGGGAATTTTGATAGAAGAATCGAAAGCGGATGAGGAAGCGAAGACGAGGACTTCCGTTGGACTTCGGCTCCCTCCAATTCTGAACATCATTTTCTCTACCCCTGCAGGACTCCGCTTTCCACAGTCAAGAAAATTTATTGTAAATTTCTCTTCACTCTTGAATAATAGACATTTTGTTCCGTAACACGGAAGCAAATGGTGCATACCACTTCGACGTAGCGGTGGGGTGAACTGTGGCAGCTGGCAGCGAGTTCCTCTAACCCTAACCGATAGGGTTTTCCTCACTTCTTTAAATTTATCTTTACAGGGCCATTCTCGCCATCCTGAAGGAAACAATGTAATTTATTAATCCTCCATTGCGATTAAGTTCTGCAGAATATTGTCAGAAAGGTAGTAGCCCATTTTAGGGGGGGGGGGGGGGGGGATCCGATTTGAGTTTTTTTTTCTAAACCGAGAACCCTGGTACAGATGTTGGCACGCGCCCCCGAGTCCTTTTACACTCACTGACAAAAATAATATAAATACTTGCCTAATAGCGTGTTGGACCCTCGTGCGTTGCAATAACAGCTTGAGTTATTCGTATTTATACCTGTCACAGGCCACACGGTGGCCTGTGACAGGTATTTTGCCTATTTTGCATCGTCTGCAGGCTGGGAGCATCCATCTCACATCACTGGGGGTTTCTAGCATTTTTGTCAATGTGCATACCTAAATATTAGAAATGATACCTGAATCGCGCTGCCAGCGATTCAAAGAAACACGCAATATTTAATTATCGTTTTGTTCCTGAGCTAGACGTGTTCTCTTTCGTTTCTTCTGGACTTCTTTTCGCATATTGAGCTGGAAATATACATTTTTTTGCCTGATGGCAATGGGAAACGGTTCCAGAGTAACCCAGAAGTGACTTCTTGTTTCGGTGTCATGAAACAAATGTAAAGCTCTGAGTTCGAGTGAAACTGCCAGCTATTTTGTTCATACTCTATAATTAATTTGGTATAAGTAATTGGTAGAGGAAATTAGTGCGCTCCTTCACAATGAATGGAAAATTTGCTTCTATCGCATGAAAGTCAAAACACAATAGTTGCAATACATTGCCATTGAAACTGTACGGCCATGGAGTAGATGTACGATATTTATCGGTCCCTACCGAAATGGTGGAAAGCAAAATGTCGAATGGAGTACATCGTTCAATGTTCACATCATTGAAATAGTCAAAAGAAAAATTGAAATGTCGCAATTTTAAATGTCAAAAATTGACTCTTTTTTGGTTTCTATCATGAGCGAAATGATTCACGTCGTATGTGAACGTCGAAGGGGTCGGTTACATAAATTAAATTACATTTTTTGTGCAGTCGGATTATGATGGAAATAGCACCAAGCCAAAGTCGTCGATTTCTGCGTCGAGAGAGACGCGTGATACAGGAACTCACATTTACCGCGCGGGAAATAAATTGCCCTAAGCTTCCAGCTTTTCTACTTTCAAATGCTCGATCGATATAACCATTATGTGTAAGCAATAACCAACTGTCCTATTTCAAAGTTGAAAAATTATTTCGGAACAATAACACCTCAGAATCACTTGATGTATTGGTCCACAGATCCATGGACTTGGACACGGATGTCGCAATTAATGCATGGAGAATCCTGGGAACTTCTCCCATGGAAAAGTTTTTCTGAAGATATGCAACTTTCGAGTTAAAGATTTTGCTACAAAAGTATACAATATAATAAGATATGCCAGCATATTTAATTTATTTATTCTAGGGCTGTACCGGTGGCCACATTTGGCCGGTGGACCGATTTTTTCCTCACAACCATCGGCCGGTGCCGGTGCCAATTGTGGCCTGTATAAGAAATCGCCTATAAATTCAAATAGGCCTAATTGGAAGTCGTGTGATACTTATCAGTAAGCCTCCTTGAAACGATTGAGATAACTTTTGGTACTGTCCAGCCCGTCTGTCTCTCTATGAGGCTATGAGGCTATGAGGAACCCTAAGGCTTTTTATCAGTATGCTAGTGGTAGGTGTCAACAGTCGATCGGGCCGCTAATGAATGAAAAGAGGGAGTTGATTGCAAGCGATAAGGGTATGGCCAGTATACTTAACGAGTTCTTCGCGTCCGTTTTCACTGTCGAATCCGACTCGGCACCGACTCTGGAGGAGGTGACCTCCGCTCGCATCGAGGATATTTCCATCACCGAGGAGATGATCGAGAATATGATAGGGAAGCTGAAGGTGGGCAAGGCGACCGGCCCCGATGGGATTCCTGCGAGAGTCATTAAGGAAACCGCGAGAGAAATATCGGTNCGCAGGTGCGGCTCAGGTCGAGACAGGAATTCTTTACTTGCAGAGTGGTGAACGCGTGGAATGCGTTAGATGACGAAGTAGTGGCTGCCCCTTCTGTGACTATCTTTAAGAAGAAACTAGATGCTTTCATGGACAGGCAAAAAGGTGGGGGGCAATGTTGACGTAGGTACTAGACAGTAAGCAACTAGGATAATAAAAAAAAAAAAAAAAAAAAAAAAAAAAAAATATACAAAAATATATAGCTTTAAGAGGGTTAGGCCTACCCTAAAATTAAGGAACGCTCGACCTCGACACGTGATATCGAAATGGGCGAAATCGCCTCTTGATATCACTAACTCTCCTGACTCCTGAGGCTGTCAGTGGTTAGCTTGCTATCCATTGCTGCAGCTGAGAGCATTTTGTGACACATCCCTTGCAAAAGCATAACGTAAATAGAGATGCAATTCTTTCCCATTCTTTACCGCTGATTTCCTCCGCCGGTTCATATAATACGGCTGTAGCATAATCAGATCGATATTTTTGTTTGGGAGAGGCTGGCAGGAGTGGCCAAAGTGAGACGGTTTGGCCGGTGCCTAGCCGCGTGAACACTCTCACGGACTTTTTTTTTCGCTTTGCCAGTCCTAGGGGCACCGGCATCGGCACCGTTGCCATAGGCCGATGGTGCCGATAGCGCAACACCGGAAGCCGATACATCGGTACAGCCGATTTTATTTAGCAGATTTTATTCTTCTTTTAACTTTAATTTCAGGTATCAAGCAACTTTTTTGATCGAGGACCAATGATAATACGGGGGGGGGGGACAAAAATCGATTCTGGTTCAGTACTAAGCCACTTGCTCGAAACATCCAAACCATAGGCAGGATTTTATTTTTTGGAGCATCTTTTCACCACTTCAAGAGATGGTCCATCACTCAGACCAACTCCGTAACTCCTGAAGTGGTGCTCAACTATCCATACATGCTCTTGGACTGACCGCTGAAATGTCATTGAATGCTGAGATGGTCCAGCACCGCTCAATGACACACTTGGGATGGGATGTATCGATAGAATGCGTAACAGGGCATTGTTTGCAGTGGCGTGCCCAAGGGGAAAAGGGTGGGGATCATAACCACCCCCCTCCCCTTGGGATACTCTTTACTAGTTTGATTCTCAAAAGTTTTTTTACTTTGCCAAATATGCAGGGTGGGTTACCAATTTTTCGTGCCTGGGATTTTCTGGGCACACCGATTACCTAAGAAAAGGGAACTGAAAAAACCTCATTCCAACATCGCATATGTAATCTATCCTATTGGTTGCGTATGCGAAGCTACCTTTCTTCCATAGAAAACGAACGAGCATTTATTTTGAATAGTGATATATACTGAAATTTGTCTATCGAAAGTAAAAACCTGAATACAATCTTTCACGGCTCCATGTGAAGTTATTTCAGTTGCCAATCATACGGATGTGTATGCATGATCAATTTCTCAGCATGTCCTATGAGATCGGCTTTGTGTCAGGTCCCCCAACATATTTTTTCGTGTTTATTAGGTTACCACTTCGAACAAGTTTTATTGTTTACGCACAGGCGGCGCTGGTTTGGCCTATGTACCGTTTGAAAGAGCATGAATAGGCCTACCAACTTGCGTATAGTAAATGAACAAATCAGCCTATTTAGAAGTGTGACGTGAGCGAGACCATGCCAGCCACTTCAGAAGTTACTCGCGCGTGTTTGTTGTACGAATTCAAACTCGGTAAGATAGCGACGCAGGCTGCTTGGAACATTTGCAACGCATTTGGAGAGAACGCGGTTAGTGGGCGTACAGCACAAAATTGGTTTAAGAAATTTTCTTCTGGCGATGAAACATTTAAAGATGAACCCCGATCTGGAAGGAGATCCATCATTGATGATGATGAGCTGAAAGCAGCGATCGAGTCGTGTATGGTGGACAACAGCCGGCGTCGTACACTATGAGCTCCTAAACCCTGGCCAAACGATCACCGCGGACGTCTATTCGGCGCAACTGCAACGGGCTCAGGACAAGCTGCTCGAAAAGCATCCGTCGTTGGTCGATCGGAAAGGTGTTGTGTTCCTCCAAGACAACGCGCGCCTTCATGCGGCAAAAGTGACGTGAGAAAAACTCAACATCCTAGGTTAGGAGATTTTGCCACATCCACCCTATTTGGCCGACATTTCCCCTTCCGACTACTACCTTTCCCTCTCGCTGGACAACCACATACGGAACCGGCAATTTAAACCAGAAGCGGACCTTGAAAAGGAATCGGCCTTTCTTCGCTTCCAAATATCGATATTGTTTCCCATTGGGAAAAAGTTGTAGATTGTAATGGCAATTACGTAACCGAATAAAATGTATGAAAAAAGTTTTTGTGTTTGGTCTAAATTTAACTTAAAAAAATGGAAATACTTTTTTTAGGGACCCGATATGATGAAAAAAAGTTAAGCTGCCAAAACCTACTATTTTTTAAATCAAAACTCTCCAGTTTTCTTCATGCCTTTTTAACACGAGCTTCTCTATGGCATGTTGAATAAGCTGAAGAAATTGCAGTGATGTTGGATAAATTTGCAATACCACCAATTTTGACAATTAAATCTCAATTATCTATGGAACTGGCAGGTTCAGTGTGTCATATCTAAGTCAAAAGTCACAACTAGGAAAGCGGAAAACACATGGAACTTTTTGGCATTGGCCCCTAATATGGCTTCATGCCAGATGACCTAAGCTGCTGCAACATCAGTGAAGTTCCTTGATGTACTGCCGTACAGGCATGAAATGCATAGAATTTTGTTATAGATCTATGATTTCAAATCTCTTTAGAATGTCAATAATAGTCTTGTGCAAGATATGGTGGGTCAATCACCTGAAGGATGTTACTGCATTAACCCTACAATTGTAGGGTTGATGACAAGACAAGCATACTGTAAAAAGCAGGTGAAGGGAGACAGAAGAGCACTCGATGACAAAATTGATTACTTGTATTTAATGGATTACACGTTAATTTGAATAAGTAATTTCACCCACAAGCCCAAAAAATTGAGAATTACCAACTAACTTTACTTTTCACTGCAGCTATTATTGTGTTTATGGATATCCCTGCCTCAGCTGGATTAATTCTAGCAAGAGCTTGGTCTCCACTAAATTATTATATTTTTGTTCTTGGTATTGAATAGCCTTACCAGAAAAGCCATGTCCAAAACTTAAATCCATAAACTTTTCTGTCAACATTCTGTGTTCTGACATCTGACTCCCTACTAAGTGACTATTAGCTCCAAGAAAGAGCTGGTTTTCTCAACCAGAATAAATTCAACATTGGAAGCAAGTTCAATGTCATTTTTCTCACTCTCTCCCAGGGCTGCGCAGAGGTTTCCAGGGGCCTGGGGCAAAACTAAACTGGAGACCCCTTGTGGCCCTTGATATGCAGGGCCTGGGGCAGATAGCACTATTTGCCCTCCCCTCTGGGCAGCCCTGCCCTCTCCTATTCTCCTTCTATCCTGAATGAAGAACTCTGACATCCTTGCAGCAGTTTGATGGCTCCTTGAATCTTGTGTCTTTCATTTAGCCTTTTTTATGTCTCATTTCCAGTGTTTAACCTTAAATGAGTATGATGAGTATACCGTCATGGTCATCCTCCTGTTTGGTGCAAAGGATGAGTATACATGTCATGGAATTTGAAGATATGGAATTGTCATTCAATGAAGCATTCATGAAACATTATATTCCCTGTAATGAAAAAGAGTTAAATGTAGTTCAATGGCATACATGAGTTGCTGCAGAAAAACTACCCACCCAGCCCGCCACTACAGTGCAGAAACTCCCCTAGTTAACTGGTAAGTAGAGTGCCAGGTCAATTCAAACATCCAATTGCAACATTTTTCCCTTAACACAACCTTGCGTTGAGTTGCTTATCTTTGTGCATCATTGTTTATGATACCTTCTTATAAAGATAAGTCCCCTCATTTACCTTATTAGGTAAGTAAAGGATTGGGCTGATATCTATTGTCTCAAAGCATCTCTGGTATATCTGCTGCTGAGAATGAGAAACTTCAGTGTTCAAACTCCTTTGTAGCACCTGAAAGATTAATGATGAAAGGCATCTTTTTTAAAAGGCAAACTTGATAATTATAAAACTGCCCAACAAGAACAGTAATCTTCCCTCATATGAGAATGAATAAACAGTAAGTGCAGCTTGGTTAATACCAATGAATATCAAGAATGTGAAAGTCGCTCTAGGTTGAAGAAAGACATTTAGGTGTCTCATGTACTACAGATGAGACACCACCAAGAAATGCTACACAAAAGTGCATATTATGAGCTTGATATCACAGGTCCACACAATACACTGTCTTGCATAGATTATCTCTGCGGTGGCAGAGGAGGAACAGGTCCCATTGCAGATATGGAAGGTCCTTGAACAATGCCAAGAATCTGTAGGTGACTGGAGGGAATAAGGCCAGAACGTCCTGGACCTAATGCTGCTCTCAAAAATCCAGGGGCTGGGGACTGCAAGCATCCAGGAGCCAAAATCACCTTGTCTCCTTTCTGAATGCTCAGTTCAGAAGGTGTGCGTGCACGAAAGTCCTCTTGAGCAATGGCTTCATAGTGTAGGCCTTCTCCCAACTCCCAGTTCCTCCCTAAAAAAAAAAAAAAAAAATATTCAGTAGACAGTGATCCATATCTTGCTTATTCAGGATTCTGAGCCATGAAAATTATTGGGGATAGAACAGAGTATGGGTGAAAAGCACCATGTATGACGAAAACTGAATATTAATTTCTTATGCTATGGGCCCATGGTGTGCTTTGGAGTGTTGAAGACAAAAAGTTGGAGAAAGTCAAAATGAATTTGATTGTTCTCAGTGCTCAAAGCATTAACAGTCACATCAATTCCATATCCAAGTCAAACATAATGATTACCAGGTTCCTTGTAGGTGTATGAGAATCCTGAAGCAAAAGATCAGGGAAATCATTGAGGACACTTTGAAGTGTGCTGGTGTATGAAAATGATTAATCTTTCCCATGAGACAAAAAGCTAGAAGGGAAGATTTGTCCAGGGTGAATGCATGGAACATGTAGTAATAATCTTCTCTTGCTTAGGTGTAGAGATGTTGAAGAAGTTCACTGAAGAACCAAGACTCCAGCAGGGGGGTGAATATTAAGTCCTATAGTTTCATACCAGTCATTTTCAGTAGTCACATATACTGCAAGTTGCACGTGACTTGCACAACTCTAGAAGAAAAGCAAAATCTGGAATTTCTGACTTATAATAGACAATTGGCTTCATGGTTTTACTGAAATCTCAAATTGATTGCAAGATTACAGAGGAGGATGTAATCCATGTTTGAACCAATCCCTCAAGAAGATTAGTAGCTTATACAAATCACAGGGTAGTAATAAGTGTGAGAAGAGAAATGATAATTTTGATTGCCTGAGAAATTCTCCAACCTTAACAAGCTCAAAGCTAAACAGCTATCTACAACTTTAATAACACACTGGTTAAGCAGAATGATTCAACATTTCCTCTTCTATATTTTTCATATTCTGTCTGGTATTCATCCAGTGTTAACCACAATTGATATAAAATGCCACCTGCATTTGAACTATTCACTACTACTGGTCTTAAACATTTCCATGTTTGACATTCCAATGTTCTTCCCTGGGCCAAAGGCAACTCAAACCAAAACTCTGTGTTGATCCAGGAGTAGATCAAGGATGGAAACCACTGGATAATAATGATTTCTTGAACTATTATCCAACCTGCAGGCTGGTCTCCAACAATCATCCGAAGGATCTTCCACAAGATGTAGGGTCCAGCAAATATGAACGAAAGGAAGATAAGAACGGGCAGAGCAGTTGGTCCACCTTTCACATCTTGCTCTGTAAGTATGCGGCCAGATGTTGCTTGATTCCACGCTCCATGAAGACTTGGATTGGCCTTCACAATCCCTGATAAGAACAGGTTTTTATTTTAAAATGCAATAATGATTAACTCAATTTTACAAAAGGTCAAACAGAATGTTTTTGTGAGAACCTGATCACATGCAAAGGACAACACTGGTAAATTTTTAGGAAGTTTCAATCCTTAAATGACTCATTAGACTCAGGGTTTTCAGAAGCAGCTAAATAATTTTTTTATTGCAAGGTTTACAGGTTTACATTGAGAAGAAAGTTTCACACTCTGAATCAAGAGTTTGGGAATGAAATTGATTTAGTGGCTGACTTAAAAATTAGAAAACCATCAAAATGATCTGATCATGACATACTTATTTGGATGAACAACAGCAGAGGTAAATTTGCTATATAGAGAAATTAATATGGGTGAAATGAAAAAAAAAAGGGGGAGGGGGGAGTTACTAAGTTAAAGAGGTAAATCAGCTTTCCTATAATAAATATATAATATATCCTATAACATAACAAATGAATAAATTTTCTTAACCTTGATTCTCTAGAGAATTTTATTGAGGAGAAATTCTGTGATGATTAAATTTAACTTTTTCAGGCACATGGACCAGAGGAGACTCAAGTTATTTTTTGAGCCATCCCACCTCTCACTACCAAGGGGCAATCCAGGAAATTACATGAAAGTAGGGCAAAGAAAAAACTAAGGAATATTCCATCCCTACATTAGCAAAAATCACTCAGAATCCTGAGTCCCCTTTTGTTTTTAACCCTTTGACAAGTATGCCCGTATATATACAGGCTGATGTTCTCCTGCCTTCCATGTATTCACTATGGGTGATCTTCTAGGCATTAAAAAAACCCACTCCTCAAAGGGTTAAAGGAAAGGAATGGGACATGCCACAAGAATTGAGACAGACCTGTGGATTGCAAACTGTGCTCCCTTCACAGGGTCAGTTCACCAAAGCTTCTAAATTTTTATTTTGCTTAAAACATGTAAAAACACAGCTATATCTAGTAATTTTATTTCTTCCTTAAAAGCAGTTTCCAAAATTTTCTAAAATTTGTTCTGTGCTAAATCTTTTTTGAGTAAAAAAAGCTGTAGCCTGGAAAAGACAGCTGAGGAGGTGTCTTAAACTAGTCTAAAATTATTATCAGCTCAATCTATATTTCTTCCCAGGGTCAATGTTTCATTCCAGCAGTGTGTCGATGTTAAGTGCCTAAATATGATGTTCTTCCTAGTGTGAACTTAATTTATAAGCACTTGGTTTTCCTCTGTCAAAAACCATGTTTTATTCTTGCTCTCCATCCTCTCACATGAAAAATTCCACTACTGGATACTTGGAAATGCTTTGATCATTCCTGTCTCACACTCTTGAATTTTCTGATGTGAAATTCTCTGGTATGTATGTTATAAATAAACCTTTTCTTGAATTAGCTACAATATCAAATAACATATTAATCACTGTGCCAAATAAAAGGATACAATCCCCTTTTAGTTGCAGAACAGGCTTAAGAAAAAGAAATGAAAAGTTCAGATTTAGATGCTTCGAGAAACACCACTTTCTAATCTATTTCAATTTTTTTTCTTAAAGGGTTCATTTCAGAAAGGAGTTAGAAAAGACTTAAAAGCTTCAAGAAACAGGCCCCTGGTCTCCACCGCATGGAATTTTTTAAATAGAATGACTTAAGGAGAATGGAGTACAATTCCAGTTTACATTTTAGGAATTGTGACCCAGGGTAGCTCTTTTGACTAAGCATTTATAAAAAGGAAAGGTAAAGGGGCAATATGCATAGCTTTTGGCATCTGTTTTAACTAGGGCTGTCACAATAGATCGATGCATTGATACCACTATTGATAGTTGGAGGTATCGATAGTTTTTTCGACCATCGCGATGTATGGGCAAAAGATTTTAAAGGGAAAATGTCTCATTGGATTGAGGCGAGTACAGTACAATACTGTCCGTCCAGGCGGGAAAAGGAAGAAGCGGCGTGACCCGCATGGGCTTGCAATTTCTTACCACTATCGATTTCTGAAAATGCTGGGACTGATTATATGAAAGTCAAGAGGAAAAAAAAAAATCGGATCAGAGACAGGAAGTGGGAAAAGAGGGGGGGGGGGGAAGATTGAGAATTTTTTTCCTCTTGTTTCAGTCTTCGGCTCGATCTCATCAGGTGCATGCTGCGGAAGTGGACTGTTATACTCCCTTGATTTCGAAACGTACATTGGTTAATCCCCTTTCCATATTCCTGTCTTTCTCTTTAGTATGCAGGCTTAACTTTCTTAATGTTTAACTTGCCCTGGGGTATTTTATCCCTATTTAAGGTGAACTCGGTGAATTTTTTACACAGATGTTGCTTATTCTAGGGCTGTACAGATTTTTCCGCACTCTCCGGTATGGCACCGTTGGCATGTTTCCTATCTGCCGGTGCCGATGTCCAAAGACCGTGGAGGATAAACACCCCAGTTTTTGGCCATGCTTATACTTCCTCCCAAAGTTTGTGGACACCCTGTGCGCACACCGGGAAACACTAGTAATAGGTCCTCGTACGGGAAGATGTTGATAGAATACTTGAAAAAGGCCAGATAAACTAATTATGCTGGATTTAAGCCTCACTGGCCAACAACTGGAGACAGGCCAGAAACCGGGGTGCTTACCTTAGAACGAAGAAAAGAGAAAAAAATTAAATGAACAGGCTTGGCAGCTGATTCTCAATGACAATAAGAAAAACTTAGGACTGTCCTGATGCATCCATCGATGAATGGAAGTCATCTTCGATAGTTGGAGGCATGGTAGGTTTCATTACTCCTTGCGAAGGTCACATATTCCCTCTGCACCCCCGATCACAAGTGTGAGATTATGGAAGACAGATAGAGGGCCACACTCCAATCGAGGCACAAAACGATGGAAGACAAACCTCTGCCTGATCGCGGCGAGAAAAGATCGAATCATCCGGTGAAACCCCCCCCCCCCCCCCGATGCATTGATACACTATCGATAGTTCAGGTCGATGCATTGATGTTTTGATAACTGCTATCGTAACAGCCCTAGTTTTAACCCACACTTTCTCTTCTAAAAAATGTAAATTTTTTTTTAAATCTCTTCTTGGCAGCATAAACCTAGATAGTAGGAAATCATCTCCCTCTTCCCCTTTTTCTGCCCTTGGTTTTCCTCCCAATATATGAATATGTATGATGGAACAGCAAGCTCATTGAAAACATTTCTTGCTGATACATAGAAATATCTGCAGGATTAGTTAAAAGCAATGATGAATGTAATAGGGACCATGATTCTCTTGAGTTATATAAGATAGAAACCAAATACTGAGAAAATAAAGATATTAACATGCCTGGCAAATTGAACATTATGTACCTCAGAGATAGCTAAGGCTTTTCTTTCTCAATCAAAAGTTCAGTAACTAAAAGTAGGTCACCTTGCAGGTAACTGATATAGCAAAATAGAACATATATACATAAAAATACTCATAGTTGAAGAATATCAGTAGAATCATTCTCCTGTTCTTGTTGCAAGACATTTCAGACAAAAAATGTCTTGCAATAAGAACAAGAGAAGTAGTCTTTTGACATTCTTCAACTTTGAGTATTATTTTCTCTGTAGTTAACTGTGCCATTTCAACAAATATATATTTAAAAAAACTGTTCATAAAACCTTTCAAGTTGCACTTTTTAATAAACTTTGTCTTAGAAGCATTGGAAGAATAATAAAAAAATTATAGTGATTTGAAATGGTCTGCATTTTTGTGCACCACCCTGTACATGTATATATACATATAATATTATGTATATTCACCGTTAGAAGGGTGAGCCCTTGACCAGCTACAGCTCAGCACCCATACAAGTCCTCTCAAGTTTCTCTCTCAAACCCTCAATAGTTTCCGAATGCCTTTCAAAGGGCTTGTGTGGGTGCTGGGCTGCAGGTGGTCAAGGGCTTGCCCTTCTAACAGTGAATATACATCATATTATATTTTACTTTGAAGGGGGCAATGCAAACACATTGTCCTTCCAGTGATTTTTGGAAGTGTGTCAACTCTTTCCTGGCTCTGAAACATCATTTCTAAATACTGTATATAGATAGAAGAGAGAGAGAGAGTGTGCATATCTTGTCAGTAAACCAGTCAACCGTGTATAAAAATATTAGTTATGAAATCACCATAAATTGGGATTCATAATTACTATGTACTTCTAATGCTCATACCAATAATGTAGGCCAGCTTGTGAAGCCACCTCCTGATGGCTAGCCAAGGTTTCCTTGATGAAACTAGGATGAATAGATGATATTTGATTTGTGAGAATATAGCAGCAAGGTTGACAAAAGCCTGGAATGATGAGTATATGGCATTGTAGGACATAGACACCATGTTGCTCAGAGATGTAAACACATCAACAATGGAGGCCAAGCTGCTGAAAGCTCCTTGGGATGATTGCAAGACTTCCATCATATATCTATAAGAAATACATATACCACAGAATCAGTCAGGGCATTCTCTTAGTTCAAGGGTGTCAAACTCAAATCGGTCATGACTGCATTCCCTAACCTGCAGATACCTCCTTGGGCTGTAGGTTTGATACCTATCTTAGATTATTAAATGAACCCTTTCAGGAGTATAGATATACTGGTACATCCTGCTTCTACTTATGTGAATGGCTTTTAATAGATAGCTTTGAATTGAAAGCACTAACACACATGCAGAAGAAGTCCCTCTTGAAAGAGTCAGAGTCAAGGGATTAAATCAGGGCTTCCAACCATTTTCCAGTTGCATAAGCAAGAATGGACAGTATTATTGCATAGGATTTACAAATTCAGGGTGAGGTCTAATGACTTGGACTTACTGTAAAGGAGACCAATGTAGTCCATGAGTCATTATTGTGAAGACTATGTAGGCCTAGTGAACTTATTTAGGCTCAAGTACTATGTGTACAAGTCAAACCCTAAATCAAGGATTGATTGGAACTCAAGGAAAGTTCTATGGAGCACTAGAATTTCTGGGAATTCAGACTCAGATCTGATTCAGCCTTCTTATGAAACACCAAAAAATATGACAAACTCTTGGGATAGAATGATGTGAACATTTTTACTCATTTTGATGCTTAATGATGAGTCATCAGAGGTACTCAATTCTGAATAACTAATAAAACTTCACCATGGCTACTTGATGCAAAACATTTTGTTAAAACTGAATATAAGAAATACTATCCTAAACAATAGAAAAATGCAAACACTACTCTTCAATACAAAAAAGAAGGTCCAATGACCACAGAAGCCACAGCCTGGGTTTGCTCCAACCTAACAGGACATTTTATATTGTTGTTCACACTCAATCCTGCATCAGCTTCGCCACATCCTCGCACCCTAACCAAGAGGCCTCTGCTAATGAGGTGTAAGGGAATGAGTACATCCACTGGGTGGGAAAAATGGGATGAACACATAAAAAAGACACAGAAAATAGCTACCTGGTTACATATTAGCAAAAAATATATGAAAAAAGGTGTGTAAATGTATTACTTAATCATGCTGGAAAGATCCTAGGGACTTATTTTTAAATCCTTTTCTCTAATCCTAATGTATTGAGACATAAAAAATCTGTTTGATTTTTTTTTTCTCAGAAAAGTTTCTCAACCAGCAATTCCAGGTCAACATGATACTTCACTGAAATCTTCAAAAGTAAAATTACATATAAATGCATTAGATTTGATGACCAGCAACATTTGGAGTAATGACCCAATATAACTTCCAATACAAGACTGGCTGAATAGAAGATGCCAGAAGAGATGAGAATCTAACAACAAAAAAACATGTGGCACAAAACATCAGTGTTGGAAGCCCTAATATCAAAACAGTGAGCAATGCTGATAGAGGTTATGTGATATTTTACCTGTCCTGTTCATTAGTGACTGTGCTCCCAGCTCCAGAGTAGGGCCTCCATGAAGGGTAAATTCCCGACCCATAGGGTTGATACTGAAAGTTTCCCATTCCTCCCATGAACGGACCATAAGAAGGGCTTCTGATGTATGAATCCCATGGTGAAGGATAGGATGTGTTCCATTCAGGGCGGAGCCCTGCCTGCTGGATATAGGGTAAGTTCCCTCTTACTGCTGGCTGACCATTCTGCATCCTCACCGAGCTAGCGTCTGACTTTTGGTCATCCCCAAGGCCAAGGAGAGAAGTCTTATAGTTACTCCTTGCATCTGGCTGCCTGCCCAAGTGGGTAACAGATCCATTCCTCTTCCCAGAAGGAAGAGAATCGTAGTCAGAACAGTCACTCTTCATGCAATGGGAATCTGACAAGAAATACATTGCACCCAGGTTAACATCCCCATCCTGACGCAGCCGCTGCTTTATGCCTACCCAAAGGACTTAGGCCTATAATGTGATCAGTAGTGAAGATCTAGGCCATGGCCTATAAACAATATACACTTATTAGAACCTGTGAAGAAAAGTCCCACAAAACGGCTAAACTCGTGCACATGGCAAAGGAGGACGGAGAAGACGACGGAATCTGGATGTGGACTTTTGGGAGAGACCTACACGGGATAGGCTTTTTGGAAACCTGAGCGGTTTGAATCATTTTCGGGCCCGATTGGATCTGCACGTTTCATGCTCCACCCGAACATAACCTTTCCTTCCTGAAAAGGATATGCTGTTTTTTTTTGTTACTTATGTCAACGTGTGCTCTATGAAATCGTTCCCATTGTCTCTTGCTCGTATCGTAAATTTAAGAAAATGTTCGCTTTACATCGCGTCAGACAATCAGGGCCGTTTCTAGGGGCGGGCGAAGCGGGCGATCGCCCGGGGCGCAAGCGGGGTAAAGGGGGATGGGGGAGGGCGCCAGAGTGGTAAAGGGGGAGGGAGGGGGGGGGGGGGGGCCGTTGGAACTTCTTGCCCTGGGCGCCAACACGCCTAGAAACGGCCCTGCAGACAATAGGTTACGAACGTTTAACCTTTTCATGCCTGAATTTTTAGAAAAAGGAACTTACTTCAGTTTAACGCAGAGGATAATAATGCGCTCTGACCAGACGTTTACTAGACTTGCACTAATAAAATGAGGCCGTCGTCATCTTAATCTTGCTGGCAGGAACCGGTCTGATGAGTCAATGCTGACAATAACTCGCTGGCATGCATAGGATGGATTTTAAATATTCGGAAGGTTGATGGTTCCAAACAGAACCATCCGGCATGAAATGGTTAAACTGAGCTGAATTGTGTGATATGATGAGCTACTACGAACTGTTGAACAGGGATAATCACAGTCTTGTCCCCCTACATGTGTACGTGGTATTATGNGGTTAAACTGAGCTGAATTGCGTGATATGATGAGCTACTACGAACTGTTGAACAGGGATAATCACAGTCTTGTCCCCCTACATGTGTACGTGGTATTATGTTTAGTTTACAGGTAAGCAGATCATACTCATGTCAACCAATATTTTGAAGGGTCAGCTAGCGTCCCGTGGAATTTTTTGGTCCTACAGGGGTGCGGATTTGGTCGGTTCGGGCCAATGTGGTTAACCAGTAGCCAGTGCAGGACTCTAACCAATAGCCATGCATGTATTTGTGAAATGCAACAAGTGGAATGAGGAAGTCTTGAATCTGGGGGCAGAGGTGTAAATTTCAAAGTTTGCATTTCTCCTGTCAGCTTCTCAATAAAATTACACCTTTTTTAAATAGAAAATATCTATAATGCGTAACAGCACATTGCAGAATGAAGCGAATGAAGATGCGAGATTCGGTTTGAGCAATTGCTGAATAAAGGCATAAAATGCAGAATAAGACCGAATTGTTAACACTTGCTCACTTCACTGTGTCTTGCGGGGCGCGATGGAAGGAGACCGATAGCAGAACTTATTAATAGTATCAGACTTGTTTGCGAGTAGTTTCCTATCCACTTCCTCTAAGAAACGATTTACTTCCCAAAGGCCAAGACTCTCGCAAGATTCATTCACTAATTCTAGATTAGTGCTCGAAATGGGATGAAATGCGGCTGGATAGCATCCCGGCAAGACTAAGCTTTAATTTGAGCCATCTCCCCAAAATTAAAATTGTACAGTAAAGCTGGTGGGGAAGGCCAGAAGGCTCAGAAAACTTTACTTAAGGGCACTCACGGTGCCTTGCTTTCCTTGTCTCAGTTGGTCGTTACAAGACTCGGGAGGTGTGTCAACAAGGGATCTTTGACCTTTGCTTCGGTTAGGGTCTGCTCCTCGGCATTTTTAACCTTTAGTTGAATGCAACCTCCTCCAAGGAATCAGAATAAGTGCTTCTCGTCTTCCTTATCCTGGTTTATTTAAAAATCAATTTCCAGAGGAAATTTTCCAGAGTAACACAAAGGTAACGGGCCAAAGGCGGTTCAGACACTATCGAGGCGGACTTCTGGTGGAGGCCGTAACGTGGCGGTAAGAGGGTTGCCCATGCAGTAGATGACTCGCTACTTAGTGTAGGTGGCAGGCCACCAGCACTCTTCTCATAATGTAGATGGTACTCCCCCCCCTCCCCCAAAGCGTAATCCAGATGCAGTACCAAGAGTCCCCTCTTGATGGTACCCATGTTCCTTGCACCCTGCGAATGCAATTAAGGACCTGCCTTCCTGATTTTATCAAAAGTGTTTTCTCCCCTCTTTTCTCTTTATATAATGAAATTTATGAACAGATATGAGGAAAACGTCGAATTATGATGTATTGATTGCAAGAAGCAATCTTGGTGAAATTGAGTATGGGAATACAGAAATGTACGAGAATAGGGAAGGGTAGAGTGCGGAAGTTCAATTTCACCTAATATATTGAATATTGTGTATAGTAAGACACAATATTCATGGAGTTCTGCTCACGCCCTCAGGGTTACGTATAAGATACAGGAGAGGAGAACAGTGGGTCATGTGATGAGCAGCATCTCAATTGTCTCTACCAGCCATCCCCCGAGGGGAAAAAAATCCCACTTCGAGCACTATTTTAGGTAGTCAGGAGGCATGCAAATTTCATTGTGGTGAATGGGTAACCCGTCAGACCCTGTTTGCCTTTAGTTTTTAAGATGGAGGCCCGAAGCTCAAAAAATAGGTAGGCTTAAGTTGGGATAAGCAGTTTCGAAAATGTACGAGTATGTTTGCAAGTAAAAATAGGTTTATAGATGAAAATATGGTGTTTTTCTAGGAGAATGCAGTGCCCTTTTTCCCTCCTGCTTTCTATCTACTGACTATGACTGGAAAAAGTATAACTTTGATCGCAGTAACATTTCGCATGCTGATACATACAGGCAAGTTCGTTGCAGTTAAAGTTGCAAATGAATAAATGTTAGTCGTTCCTTTGACTGTAAAGTTCTCGGATTAAAAACTTGTTTAAAATACAAAATAGGGCTAATATGGCTGAAAAAATAAACAGCACTGGAACTAAGTTTTCAAAATCGTTCTCATTAGCATAACTTATGTAAAATTAAAAAATTGAGTCATTCCACGTCTAATCAACACACCAAAACATGGATCTCCGATTTTTATTAAATTTAGATCAATGCTCTATACTGTTGAGAAAGTGAGATATCTGACATATTTTCGTCTTAAGTCAATTAGATCTTAAGGGGTTATGAAAATTTGTCAACTTTGTGACCCAGTATCCTTTAAAATCATGATAACTTTTGCTATAGCCAAGCTAGGGAGATGCTTTATAAGTCATTTGAAAATCTGTTCCTGCTCTTTCGGATGATATCATACCCTTTGGTGTTATCAAAAACAATAACACGTAGTCATAATATAGATTTACTGAACTTTGAAACTCATTTTGCAAAAAATAAATAATCTGGGATTTCCGTTAAATTGAGACTGACTTTTTTTTCACTGAAAAGTGAAAAGTATATATTTCCGATCTGTTAACGATCATGAAATTCCGCCAGGACATACCCCTTACAGATCCTGTTCAAGATTATTACGGTATTCTGATCTTCACATCAAGGATCGGAATCTCGTCAATATCGTTGCAAGATTCGGCCTAATTTAATCTTGGAGTAACGGTGTCTTTTCGGAAAAAGCACTCCAAACCAGTCACTGATGAGATCTTCTTGCTTATGGAAGAAATTTCGTTATGAAGGAATTATCTTTCCTGTGCATCTATCAAACTAGAACGAGGATCATACTTGGTGTATCAGAACTGTTTAGCAATTTAAAATAACTGTTCCTCAGGTGCTCATTGCAAACCAATATAAGTTAACTGCCAAGAATAATTAACATTTTCGGATATATTTCCACCTATAAAATTGAATCTTTAAGTAAATATATACTGTTTACATGTGTATGAAAGGGAACATAGCAACCTTGAACAAAATCATCCACTCTGCCACTGTGTCCTTTTTTATAAATAATAAATAAAAAAAAAGCCAAAGCAATGAATTCAATGGGAACAATGATGCAACATTTGGAAATTTTTGTGCAATTTTCCCCGGAAAAAAATTATTGGCTGCAAGTAACAATTACTTTCCCTACATAAAAATTAAATGGATTGAAGTCAGATGTGTCTGACGATGTTTGTTTCAACCCAACGGTTGTACCACACTGCAAAACATTAGAAAGGTATCTTTGCCTTCTTTGATGGAATATGCAATGCAGGGCAGCAATTGTGTGAGTCTTTCCATAGTACCTTTGTCCAAATATTTTTCATGTCATATTTCCATGAGTCATCTATGATAAGATTATCATGGAAAGATAAAAGAATCCGCCTCTCTTGCTCCTCTAATGTAAATGGTGGGTTGGGGCGTATTTTTTATTTCTTCAGTTCAGATAGATGAATATAGTTACCTGAAGATCCAATTTTGTTGATGAAAATATGTCCGAAAATGTTAATTTTTCTTGGCCGTTAACTTAAATTGGTTTGTAATGAGCACTTGAGGTATAGTTATTTTAAATTGCTAAACAGTTCTGATACATCCAGTATGATCCTCGTTCTAGTTTGATAGATGCGCAAGAAAGGTAATTCCTTCACAACGAAATTTTTTCCCATGGGCTACATGATTTCATCAGTGGCTGGTTTGGAGTGCTTCTTCCGACAAGACTCTATTACTCCAAGATGCGTTGATGTGCACTCGTGTAGCCAGTCGTTCATGCTTGCCCAGACTTAAGGCCACCAAACGCAATCCGATTTTCCAAGATCATATGGTCTGGAATCAAATATTCCCGTGCATTTCCAGTACTTTCCCATCCTCCGGCCATCCGACGTGTCGGATGAATATCGAGCGTGTGTCTGGATCCGACGCTTTATCCGATGTCACATGTCGGGGGACCGATCAAAACGTGCCACGTCATGGAGAAGCGGCTGCTCACGAGCACGCCGATTGCTCGAAACTGCAAGCACTGACTTATTTACATCGAGTTCAAAAATATTCAGTTGACTCCGACCTTTCAGGCTGGAGGCTGACCTCATCCTAATCACCACCTTCACCCGATGATTTTGTAGTTGACTAAAAACCTGTTTAAATCGAGTGAAATACTATGAAATTCGACGGAAAACTGCATAGCTCTTCGCCAGTTCCATGTTCTGCACGATTCTTCCCGGAGACGAGCTAGGAAGAGAGAGCCGAGGAAAGCTTTTCATCTTCCTCATCCGTGATAGCAGGCGGCCACGATAAAGAACTTTCGCAATTTCTTATTGCCCTCACAATGGTTGCTTATTTCATGAAATAGGCAAAGGTGTTGCGCAATGCGTGTTATGAGCACTAGCACGAAGCACGCATAACGTACAGTATGTGTTCTATATATTCTTGAAATCTAAAGCAGGGGTTCTTAACCTTTTTCTCCCTACGCACCCCCTGCATCCAGCACGCACCTCTGCCCGCACCCCTGGTTAAGAACCCCTGAGTTTAAGAGTAAAGTTTGAAAAATGATCGTGATCAAAATTCACGATGAAGTGCACTTATTTCAAAATTGATTTATCAAATAAAATTAACTCGGTTATAATGGCCTCCTTTACAACTAGATTTTTCAATAGCGAGGGATAATGCCTGATCCCAACATTCACAAATACGTGTACTTGTTACGTACTTATTACGTGCAAATACATGTACTCTTAATTGGATTCTTGGTTATTACGAGAACCCCGATTATAGCAAAATCAAGTTTTGGTCCCACTGACAAAACTAAGGTCGTTGTGAAGTCCTTAATTCGTTAACATGCGGTGAAATAACTTCAATTTTCATCTTCGGAGGCATCGACCATCGGCAACCTCTAACTTCCTCATTTCTAGACTATAGATTCCTGGATGGTCTCGTGTGTGTCGATAATAGATAAGAATGTATTCACGCCCACAGAAAGAAGGAGAGAGGGAAAATCCCCAATCACTGAGATATAAACTAATCTTCAGTTGTTATTCATAGTTCTTGTTGCCAGTATGGCTAATTGTCAACAGGCACGGATGTCAAAGCTGGCTGGCTCTCACCTAGCAGTCGAGTATTCACACTTCAAACATACACAGCTCAATTTAGTTTCATAAGAACCCATTTGATTCTTTACAGATATTAGGCTTATGCTTGATCATTACGCATCATTATTATGCATCCCAAACAGCAATGGATTCTTAGTATCAATCCTAAAGATAGAAGAGAAAAATAAATATAGTAACAGAAACCGAGAGTAAACACAGCCTCTTCCATAGCGAAACTCTGCCTATAAGACGATATCTTCTGGTCCCTTCGATGGTGTTATATTCGACTTCAACTGTACTGTAGGTTTTTTCCTAGATGAAGAGCGAGCATGAAAGAAAAAAAACAAAAAGCAGTCCTGTTGCCTTATTGTTAGCGCCCTGCTGATTCAGTTTTCATCTTTTGCAATTTTTTTTTCGTAACTATGTTCCGAGATGATGAACAATGCATGCTGCCCTGCATGCTTCAAAGCAGATTCACGGTAGGAGCATAAAAAGCATAGAATCAATTTCCCCCTTCAATGTTTCGATCAGATTCGTCAATGAAATATCCCGTGAAATACCCGTTACCATACTCCTGCAGAGAGATTGTCTCATCTATATTTTTTTTAAACCTCTTTGTCAAAGCTGACGTCATTTGGGGTTCATGAACTCAGATACTCAGATTGTTGGAGATAACGTATGTGGGTAATTATTGGCCAGACTCACCGTGCTTAGCCCTAGTCATGATTCACCTCCGATTTGGTCTGCACAAATGCTGCACCATCTGGGTGTCTAGCTCATGCAATACTGGAAAGGTCACTTCTGCAGCAGGACAAGGAGGGACTCAGACCTTGACACGGGATGTCAATATTGATAGAATTGCCTTTTGTCGTTCATACGCAAAACCTCGAATCTTGGATGGTTCTCCCGGCTGCGAAGGCACGATTTCCAATATCATTCGTCTCTTGATCGAAGTCTCAATAAGAACCATTCTATTCATCACTGCTCTTTATTTCATATTCTCAAACCTCAACAATACTCAATATATTGGGATCAGTTCCCTATACCACCTCAAATCCACTGGGTGAACTGTAGAAGAAAAATGGTGAAAAATAAAATTCATGCGGACACGATTTGCTATATAGCTGCGTCATCTCCTACACTCTTGCCTTTGAGAGAGAGTCCTGATGGAAAAAGTATACCCTAACAAATGATGAGGAAATTGCAGATGTACATCAATAACATCAGCCATCGTGACTAGTGCGCATGGGGAAATTTATGTGCACACCAATTCGTGCAATATGGATACCCCGAGTAAACCCAGAGAAATAAAATAATATATTATCGTCAAACATAAATTCATATCACAGATGTTGGAAAGGAAAAGTATCCCCTAGAGAACTCTCATCTCTCACAAATTTAATTTGAAATTAAGGTGAAAACAGTGCAGATACTGCACAATACTGGGAAAAGGCAAGATTTCATCGCGAGCTCAAGGGCTCCCAGTCAAAATAAACTATGTCGTGGCCAATCACACCGCAAGACTAGCATTCGCCTCCAATCAGATCATGCATTACAATGCATTACATGGGGGAACAGACCCTACAAAGAAATTTCTTTGCGCTGGAAACATCCTCGGTAACCATGAGAAGTTGAGCAACGCAGGTGACTCGTGTGTGCAGAATTTGAGACTACGATCAGAACTCTTTCGAAAATGATACCGAGAAGACAAATATGGTGAAACTTAATCACATGAGATGGACGTCACTACGGAAACATAACGAGGCATACCCGTATGGGGAGGGACGAAGGACATGTGACTGGGTACTGAAAACTCTGTTCGCTGGATACAATTTTTTTTTCCGCGTGCGTGTTTCAAGAAAGAGAAATTCACCGAGGAGGGAGGTTCCTCCATGAACCCTGGATACAGACGTCAGGACCTCTCCACCAGGTTTCTAGTCTTGATCCGTAGGTCTTGTGAGGGACTTCGTCCTTGGCGTGAAGCATAGAGCAGAGCCGGCAAAAGAATTTCGTATCGATGAACTCTCCTGTCCCCTTCCACTGAAAATATCTATTGTATAGAGAATCGTCCTGGTCCAGTTTGAGCAAATGAGCTGCCAATTCCGCTGGAGAAGTGAAGTTGTCGACATGCAGAAAAGAATTCTTGGGTGCTGCTCGTTCGTAGTCTTCGGGTCGAGCTCCCATTGCAATCGGCAAAACGTCGTTCCTGCAAAGGAAAGAGATAATGAACGATTTCCAATGTGATCAGCCTCCTAAACTGCGCAATGAACTGACTAGATCCCCCATTCGTCAATCTCCACCGTGCTGATTCGTTCGTCATGCACCTAGTGAGTAAGCAAGGCTGGCACTATTGATGGTATTCAGGGGTATTTACAGCATTTTCTCGTCTGAATGCCAATCAATACTGACGCCGAGTCTAGATTAGAATGAAGTGCATCGGTACATGATCGCTATGGCTACCGGAACACAAAGCATTGACGCCTTTCCCGATTTCTCACGGTGCGATTGGGTGTCATATAGGCGTCGACGAGGGAAGACGAGGGAAGATATCCGATGACAATTATAGAAGAAAGTTAGGCGTAGTAAATGGCGGCTGGATTTAGACAGACCCGCCCTTGAATCCCTTCACGGCCGGGTAGCAGAACGAGGCGGAACAGCAACCAATGCTTCTTCCAAAACGCGATCCTGGCCTTCATACGCATTTCGGTATCATCACCGTTACATTGCATCGTCAATGACCGCGGAATAGAAAACGAGTCCGGCATTGAAGTTATGACCCGCTTGATTGTGCCTCAGATTCAAGTACATGCTTTCTGTCTCGTTCCACATCGTCGCCAGCGTGAAAAGCAAGAAAAAATTCTTAATGTTTTAACGGTAGTTTACGGACGGAAAAAAGGTCATACGAGATCATTAGCATTACGTGTCTTTTTCTTGCCTCTGAGGCGCGATTATAGGAGACTGGGGAACATTTCGGACTAGCAGAACGAATGAATCACAAAACAATATTTCCGAAAATAATATGGAGAAAATATCGACAGAGGCAAAGAGAGGAAATAAACACAAGAAACGAGCGAAAACGAGTCGAATTGATTGCCTGAAAAGCGTAAACTCACATGAGCCCATTGACGAAGAACTTCTCGGTGATATAGTCAACACAGTTTGAATTTTCGAAGGCCAGATAGAACTTGTAGTTCCGGGAGAGCATCTCAAAACACTTCTTCTCATCCCGACGAGGGCATTTTAAAGTCCCGCACGACCCGTAAATGTCCACGTCGATGTGCTTCGCCAATTCTTTGGCATATTCCAGTCTTTTGTTCCTGGCATAGCAATTGGATACGAACCACGCCACTTTCTTCGTTTTTCCTGCAGCATAGTTCCTGTTCTGGGTTTTGAATTTTACGCGAGAATCATAGTATACCCACTTCTCGTAAGGTGAGACTATTTCACTATCATGTCTGTAAGTGGCAGTCCAGTTCACACCCGTCACTTCGGAGAAGCTCTGGGTGTGGAGGGGACATTCCAAAAGATACAGGATCCACAGCTGACCCGGTGGACGTAAAATGTCTTCTTTTCGAGGCACGTGATCTTTGAACAGCACTGCATCGACAGGCCCGGTTTTTTTTGTCGTTAAACTGCACGTATTCACGGGGCACTGTTGTTTCAGGAACTGTCTCCGACCCAATTGTATCCCGGACCAACCACCATGATACAAGAGAATGGTTTTTAGCTTCTTCTTGCCTTCCTCCTCTTCCGCCTCTTGCTTCTCGGAGTACATGAGTTGCTTGACAATCCGATCTTCTTGACGTCCCTCAGGAGAAGGAAACAAGGATTGGGCACCAAGTGTTCCAGAGAATGTCCTCGATGAGCCATTTCTGAAGAACCACGGCAATTTGGCCGAAGAGTTTAATGCAGTGTCAGAAGATCCACTATAACTCGAAGCAGCCTGGCTCTCTAGAGATTCCAGAGGGTCTTTTCTCAAGGGTTTCCTCTCCTGGAAGCGAGAGTCGCTTCCTTTATCAACCCCTTCAAATGCCGAAATCCAAGGTGGGCCTTCACGCAACCGATGGCCCTGGTAGAGCAGAAGCAAAAGTGCAGACACTCCCAGAGCACAGAGAAGAACGTGCCTCGAATAGACTCGAGGCATCTTCCAGCCCTTATTTCCTGCTTCTCAAATCTCCTCCGGCTTCCTCGACGATCCACAACATCTCAGGACTTCATCTGCAATCATAAAGAAGGTCGACAGATCCAACGAGGCCAAATGGAGTCGGTGATGAATGAATCGAGGCACATGGAATCGATGATGCATGTTAATGAAAACCTATGCAATTTATCGGTATATTCAAGATTATCCCGAGGTCCTTGAGATTCGTTCCGGCTTTCAAATAATTTTATCAATTACACGGAATCTGTCTCAAAAGATCCACGGAGGTACCCTTTAATCGATTTTCGAGACACCATTCATTCGAAAAGTGAAGAGAATCGAAAACTGGACCGTAACAAGAAGGGAAGCATCTCGAGACACTTTCGTGAAAACGGGGTGAAGGAACCGTGAAAGAGCACTGGACTACGAACTCCTATGCTTGGGATGGGAAAACCTGGCCCGGGTAAATGACTCCATGATTGTCGCTACAATATCTGGCCAAGGGCGGAAGAGTCATGTTCACAATACTAGCGTCGTTTCATCACTGCACTCGAGGCATCTTTGCTCACGTATCATGGCAAGTTCAAGGAAAGGACGGTATTGCAGTGACAGGTGAAACTCCTGGAATGACAGTCGTCTCTTCGTGCCACTACGTGAGGTGACTGTTAGTTTTTCTTCCTTTTTTTTCGTCGAGGAAGTGGAAGTCGGTAAATAGGGTACAGAGCAGAGGAAGAGGTTTTTCCTTTGAAAAGGTCGTCAACCTTATTCACCACACCTCCCGAGGACAATGCTTAAGTGTAACGGACCTTGTGCTGCACATGACAATACGAAAGCCCCGAGGAAATTACTGCACGTGCCACAAAAGAGAGTACATTCACTCCTCCGTTGAAAAATCTTAAGAACGCCCGTTACCAACTACAATTCGGAATATCTCAAAATGTAGGAACCGTTCCGATTAATCAGACCCCCCATCCAATCAAATCGAGGGGTCTCCTGCCAAAATCGACCTCTAATTTCTCTGATCCTTCGCACGATTTGGCACAGCCATCGTTGGACATTTCATGGCCGGTATGTCACAGCGAGAGGGCCGAACACAGATGACGATCCATAAATGAGACTCACCGGGAAAAATGTATCACATCCTTGCAGATAACACGTTGAACACAATGTCTGCGTCACATAATCCCAGGACGAGTTGGAGCTAAGTGAAGTGAATGGGAGTTTGATTTGTAGAGGACTATTGAGTCTGAGGAGAAGAGGAAGGGGAAAGGGGAAGGGGGAGGGGGAGGGGGAGGGAGGGTTGGCTCTACGATGAGGAAGCTCCCTTGCGCGCGAGAGTCAGCTGGGGCCAGTCTGGATCAATAGGCACTCTCTCGTAGACTGAAGAGGGGGCGCTGTGGGGGGACGCTCTATATCGTATTCTATTCGCTTCTATATACAGACTGTAGGACTGCATTCTAACCTCTGCATTTCTTTCCTTATAGACTTACACAAAATACTCAATGAAGTCCACTCCCCATCTTTAGTTTGTCTCTCGAGGCAAGAGACCATAATTTTTCAATGGCAAAGCTCATATAATAAATTGGAGTTTTAATCTGTCCAGGCATATCCATGAGTGACAACGGAGAAATTAGGGTGCAGAGTAGAATAATCTGTAACTTCTCGATTGAATATCTCTTCTCCACAAAGTTTACAAGAGGTCGTTCTGAGATCCCTGATATTAGTGGGAAACAGAATCACCCGATTCGATCTTGTAATTTATGCATGGTAATCCGGGTGTTTCTCGAAAGCTGTTGGATCTGTGGCTTGCGACTGGACTTCGAAAGATACCGGACCACTTTGGTATCCGAAATCAATAGAGGGATTCTATCATCCTCTCCCTCTATGAATTACTGGGTGGCACTTAAAAAAACACGCCAAGATTTTTTCGTTTATTTCTCAATTTCCAGATGAGGGAGAGGCCTGCAAATCAAACAAAGTAGTCTTTCCTCTCGACCCAATGAAAACTATGAATTTCTTGCTATCTTAGTACTCCCACAACAGCTGTTCACCTGAGGCGCCTATACATTTTTCATGTCACGCTTCATCTTAACCGCGAAAATGCGCAATGGGTTTCCTTTGGCTTTACTGGAGTATGTAATCTCGCTTTTCATCAAGTGATGGACTTGCGGGTCTCCTCCTCGGAGATTTCATTCAAGTCTGTTGAATGCTGACTCTCCGTTCGGCCATCGAGTGATCCAAGATGGATCACTCGTCTCACCAGCTAGACTTTTAACGCCAAGGAAGACGTCAGCTTCACGTGAAACCGCGGTTGTGCTCTAGTTCTTCCTTCTAAATGGTGCGTGATATGAAAAATGTCGAGGCGTCTTAGTCGAACATTTGCGGGGGGGTGTATTCTGGAACCTGTAAATTTATAGTTTTAATGGGATCGAGAGGATAGATGTATACGTGGTATGAATTATACTAATTTGCCTTAATTGCCTGGAAGTTGATATAATAATTAAATAAGCGCAAAAAATCTCGGCACGTTTTTTAAGCGCCACTCGATATAAATCCATTTTCATAGCACCGAAAAATTCATCGCTTGAAGGGAAATTTATTCAATATTCGTGCTTTTACAGCCGAAAATGTTATGCCCTTTAATGCACGGTACTTTGATGACAGAAAAAAAAAGAAAATGAAACAAATGCATAAGTGGGTCTAAAAAAGCATGCACTGGCAGTTGGCTTTTGTTAGTTTTTTCAACAAAAGCGTAGCGCCTAGGGGGAAAAGGGAAATGCTTCCCACTGTGCTTTGTGGGTATTATCAGGGTGGGAAAATACATTCCTTTGTCCATTTAGATATATGTATGTTCAGATGTAATACATTAATTATTTTTGCACGCGTCTTCAGAATCATGGACAAGATGTATTACAGAAAGAAAATATTCCAGAACGCATATTACTTTTTTTAAGTAATATGTGGAGGGGGGGGGGGTTCCCATTGTACTTTACGCTCAACTTTGTTTACGGGAAAGTATACTTCCCGTAATGCATTCAAGGGTTGATATTGATTTTCTTTACGAGGTCAGGCAGGACTTTCTGAAAGCCGCTCCTGGTCTCGTAGTGTCCCTAACTCATTTTCATGAGTTAGGGACATTGTTTTGTTTCTTCCATATGAGGAAACCTGGTAGAACTCGCTCATATTTTAAATTTTCAAAGGACGACTCCACCTTTTAAGTGCGTTAAAGTAAAAATGCTGAGGGAAAAGTGGGATTTATCGAAGGTTGCATACCTATGAGCATCGAGCAAGTGTTGAGCAGTGGTGCTTAGAATGTATTAATTATATTTAATATTCATTCACCACGATGCTTGCATCAAATAGAGCTGATACGGATACCAAGGGGGGAAAGTAACGCCACTACTTATTCTTATATTCGGCATTTGAAAACTACGAAAGATATAGATCAGTTCGTTTAGGCACTCTCTGGCTTCACGCCACAAAACTCAAACTGAAATCGAGCTGCTAGGCCTACTCAAACTGAAAGTTTTGTACTTGACCAACCGTAGCGGCAGCATGATAATACAACAGGCTCGAAAAATGGCCACTCGTCCACTTGCCAGTGGCGAGCACGTTTTGCGAGTTGGCGATTGAAAAGCAAGCAGCCTAGCAGCCAGGCGAGCGAATATTAGACGGACTGGTGAGGGAAAAGCTAAGTGCAGGGCTAGGCAAAAATGTTCCGGTCTGGTAAAAATTGGGGAAAGCAATTTACAGGGTTGCTTACTGTGATGACATGACGACAGTCCGTCAGGCCCACCCAACACTTTGGGGAGTAATCTCCGATGGAGCACACGGGTCCGATCACTTTCCTTCCCATTCCATGGTCAAGAAGAGGGCTGAAGTTTCAGCTGGCAAGAACAAAACTGAAAGATGATACCGGAAGTGGACACACTCCTAAAATCAACATTTCCACTAATGCTCGTGATGGTAAGAAGCTAATCGAAGAGGACAGAAGAATCCATGTTAGAGATTTTGCAGAGATGAAAGATTTTGAGAGGGTCAGTCGAACCTATCATCCGTGATCATCTGAACAATAATCAAGGGCATAATTGATCATGGCTATGTGAGTGACAGATGGAAAATACTTCCCGCTTCTACCCCGGTAAGGGGGGAGGTGAATTCAATCGGAAATCACAGAACGTCCAGTAGAAGAACCTAGCCCAATGGCTTTTGTTGGGTCATCAGCTTTTTGAAACCACCTCGTACCTTGGATTACGCCAAGAATCGCGACTACGACCTCAAAAGGCAGGCGTAACATAAAAACCTCATCTGCTCACGTGCACCATATCGACTCCACCTGCAATAACATGCACGTCACAGGAATCATCGAGCCCTTCTGAACATATACGAGTAGGTGTACTCGTAATATTGTTGGACGCTAACTATTCCCACTCGAATGCGAAGGCACAGGCCATCAACATCAATGGGCCAAGTTTGCCTGTCTTCGCGCTCGAAGGCGAACAAATATCCATTCCAAGTCCTTCGTAAAAGGTCCTTTGAAACTGGGGAAATGTAATCAAAAAGTTGTCATATATTACACCAATCGATAAATCCGGCGACAGATCTGTCCCTGAGAGCTATGAACCAGTTGTTTCGCTGCGTGTCTGCTGTAAGTCGCTCGAACGTATCACCTACTCTGTCGTAAGCCATCTTGGCCTCCATGGTCTCTCATCCGACAGACAGCACCTTTTTTTCAGACAGGTATGACTCAACTTTGTGGTGTGTTGCCCAAATGAGAGACATATATTCCGTGGGCTATCAGATCACCTCGGTCTGATAGAGGTCTTGGACTTTGCGAATCCCTCTCGAGAAGCTACTATCCAGACAGGGAATTTACTGATCTAATGGGTCCCTCCTCTCGTGGATGGGAGATTTCTCGACTGGCCAAAAGCAGAAAGTAGTATCGAATAGAACTGCCTTAGGATGGGAACCCACAAAGTTCATAGACCCCATTTAGGTTGGGTGTATCGCGAAACTAAAAGCAGGGCTAAAGAGGCAATACGAAAGGAAACATGGCTGGAGAGAGCAAACAGCAGAAAAAAAAAATAAGTTTGGAAAAATCCAGAAATTGAGTCGTTACTCCGACGACTTGACATAATATGCTCTCCTCATATAGACCTCTCACTTCAAAAAACATCACGGAATTTTTTTTCCGAAGCAGGACAACCACAGAAGAGCTCTAAATTCGATTTTCCGAATTCTCCAAAGAAATGCAGAACATGTTGTGTTCAAATCAATTATTTAAATGTTACGCCCTGCGCACCCTTTCCCTAATACTTCGGCAAATACTTTGGAGTAAAAATGAAGTACTGGACAGCACATAAGAACGTACCGCTGGGATCAATGGAGGTCATCAGTATCTCGCGCTGAATTCTGTCCAGCAGTTTACGCTCTATGGCATCTTGTGAAAGCACAGATGTCAATAACTCATAAATACTTTCAGTACCTGTTCGGTACTAGCTGCTCCGAAGCGCTCAGACTTAGTGCAAATATATATTTTTGAAAATAATATTTTAAAAGTTGGCTGAAAGGTACAAACTTCTTTATTTCTATTTTTATTTTTCGTCTTGTCCGTTATTTATTTTTGGCCTGGGCATGGTGTCACAGGCCCCTCGAACCTCGCCGCGGACTCCCAATTCAGAAACTCTGGACTACAGCATCCCTTCGAGGAGTCGCGTGCTTGCTCTGTCTCTCAATGAAGCATACAGCGCCCTAAATAGGACGAATTCACCCTTTCCATACGATGACGAAAGCAGGATCCGTCTGTTTCTACCACGATGACATGGCGTCCGATTCGAACAGAGATGGCATCTATTCAAATCTGAATCAATGACGTTCGCATTCTAGAATACACAGTTGAGACTGACTTTTGGCCCAACCCTACTTCTTTTGCGTAAGATGAAAGTAGAATAATTTAGTGTCTGTGAACCTAGCCTGTGAACCTAGCCATTGACCATTGACAGGAATTCAGGGGGCCAAAGCGGTTTTCACTCTTTCTAATATTCATGTAGGATATAGCAAGGATTCGAGTGGTTTCCTCGGAAAAAAGAGAGGGAAATGAATATTTACAGTTTAGCGAGAGCAACTTGGAATGGTGTAGGAAAGGTTTACGTTGCTTCTTTATCTGCTTCTCCTTACCCTCACCTCCTCTGCTTTTT